ATAAAATTGCGTCATCTTTTTTATTAAATGGATGAAAAATTATTATTATTTTAAAGTAACTGAAATTAGAACGTTGATATAACATGTTACATAACATGTTACCTTACTGAGTGGGAAATAATAGCTAACATCTAACTTCCGTGTTACTTTTATGCTACATAAGGTGTTAGTTTCGAAAACGTAACATTAACCCAACAGTTATATAACAGTGTTCACTGGGAACGCAGTCGCTACATTTTTCCGTCGTTGTGATATCACATTTCGTAAAAGTGGTCTTTTAACAAAAAGTGGACTTAAAAGAAGGTATGAGTATGGCATCTTTTAGCAGCGGTTCGATCAGGAAACTCGGTAGAGTTTCTCGCCAAATATACGCTTGCATACGTTGTATCATATTTAAGTAAAAGATCCTTAAAAGCGCCTATAAAAGTGAATTTGAAATTCGTAGAACTCCCATAGTTACAGAGGCTTAAGGGGTTATACCACTTTGAAATTTTCGAAAAATCAAAAAAATGTTTACGCGTTTATACCTTAAACGCGTTTTTTTTTTAACTGCATTTTAAAAATCGGTGAGCACTCTAGCTCCGCCAATTTTCAATGAATCGTCTTGATTCTCTTTTTATTTTATTCGTGATATGTTTATCCAGTGAAATACGTATGGTATTTTCAATGTATTGATATTCGCGTTTTTTATGCAACATTAATTAACGAAATTTAGGGCAAAATACGTATCTTTCCGTTCAAATCGATGCCATTTTGTGAAAAATGCATATTTTTGAAAACGGCTACGTATTTCGATAGCTTTTGGGCTACGGGAACTAATTCTTTTTGGTTCATTGATCTAGCTTAAACCTGGACTTAGTTATCGTGCCCACCGCACGATCATCAATTTTCGCAGCGCTTCGGTAAATCGCCTTTCAAGCCGCCATTTTTGTAAATAAAAAAAATACAAAAAAAAGCATTTTGTTGTTTAATAGTAGTATAATACCTTACTGTACTTTAATTTGGATAAAAACGTTTTAATTCTGAAAGAAAAATTCTTGAAAGACCGTAATTTCTGGGTGGGTCTGTGTGGTGTAACCCCTTAATAAAACATGAAAGCACGGTTTCGACCCCGTATAAAAATTCACGGAGAAGACGCCTGGTCGCTTAGAGATAGGAAGAATGTTCTGCCATATTCCTTCTCTCTTTCGACACGGGTCGAGATTTTAGGTGCTAAAGTTTGCGAACGGCAAACCCATATTACGTTACGAAAGCGGTACCAAATGGGGGGCTTGACGCATACACTGGGTTCAAGGGTGAGAAGAACTGTTCTTAGTCTAAATCGGTACATCCTAGCTCGGTCATATGGTAGATGTAGAGTACCCTCCTACGCACAGCGCAAAACCACGATGTCGTGAACACGACCTATTATTTAAGGAGACAGCAGAATTACAATGCGCAACATGAACGAAGACATAGCATAAGCCAGAGCACATATGAACAACGATTACTCGTTAATAAAGGAGGGCGAACTCGCAGGAAATGCCATCAAGGAAAGGCGATAGAGAGAGAGCCCGGCTCTCTCGCTTAAACTTATGTTAATCCTCTCGGGATGCATATTTCCAAGTAATAAATTAACGTCACCTTTCATAGCGACTCATGGCTTAATCTCAAAAGCTTTCCTCGACGTCGAGTTCCTTCTTTCGTGTTACTTGAGCAATGAGGACTTCCTAATTACGAAGTCCTAAGTGGAAATAGTGAGATATGAAGAAACGCGTCAAGCCGGCTCCCTATGGCATCAACGGGATGGTCGTATCGTGGTGATCCGATAAGGCATGCCTTTTGCAAAGCCTCGTCAATCTTTCCAGTCGTTAGACTCAATCTTTTCCAGAGTTATTTACCGAACACCGGCGTTCTCCTTCGATCTACTTGCCGTATAAGTGCGTTAAGGTGGAGTGAAACACGTCGAGGAACTTGATCGACGTCGATAAAGGAGATTTTTCTAAATGCCTACGTTGCCGACATTGGTTTTTATATTGACAGCTATGTCGAATTATATTGGGTATTGTACCAAATGGCACACTCCACCTGTCGTTTTCGTACAATAATTATAAAGAAATCGAAGTAAAACTCCAGAAAACCTCTGGATTCATGCTTTCTGGGGCCCTAATTGACTGCAGAGGGACCGCCTGCGCCATCTGTGATTTCCAGGTCAATTAAATTTTCATTCCGAGACCTCGTATTCCCATCGTTTTAGCATAGAAGCGCATACAACACTTTTTTTGCCTTTATCCCGTTCAAATGCGAGTTTTAAGACCAAAGGGTGAAAGTAGATCGAAGGTTCTAATCGACTCGCGTTTCGGCATTAAAAAAAAATCCTAATGTCAATACAGAATTGAATTAAGCGATGCTTGGAATTCCTTTTGCACGCCGACAACCCGATGCCCCTTTCTGACTACAACTTAACACTAGAATTACCGGCGTTTTTTTTTTCCTTCTTTTTTTATATCTTTGGTGGGCCATCCGAAATTCATTTTCACGGGTTTGGTAGTTCTAGCGTTAATCATGAATTTATAGAAAGGAGTACGGTCGAATGCTCGACTCTGAACGTGCCTCAAATTCTACAAAGATATTCATTTAATCGGTGCCTCCCGACGACGGAACTTACCAGTATGGGGAGGTGCCAGGAGCGATCTACTGGAGCTGAAGAAAGGCCGAAGTGATGGCTTCGGAGTGCTACTGACGGACATTGTGTCCAGTTCGGGGCCACTGTCGGACAGGTCCTCCAGTTCATCGAATAACTCTTCGATCTCCATGTCGGCCCCTAGAGGCAATTCAATCATTTTTACCATGCACATCCAACTTCTGCGGACGTACCGCTTTCAATTTCATGATATAAGAATCCGTCTTTACTTGGAATTCCGGACAGCTTTTGCCCAATCTCTTCTTGGTCGTGTTCCAACTCCTCGGATACTCTGAATCGCTTCAGCAGAGCCTTGAACTTCTGTTTCAAGTTTCTTTGCTGAAATATCCACAAATCTCGCTGGTTAAAAAATATTTTCACCCTATCGTTCCGTACTAAAGAGCATCTAGGTTAAAAGAATCGGAATTCTAGCTACTGTGGTTGGATAGAATCGTTAAATGCGCCCATAATTATGAAAGTGGTCTAAGTCATATATTTTTTGTTTCGAAATTACATTGAATTAATTTAGCTTGAAATAATGTGGCGTGAAATAACTGATAAACTCATTTTTTTTTCAATTTTGACTTAGACCACTTTCATAATTATGGGCACAAATATGCTCTTATTATTTCCCACCGTTTTTAATCAGCTGTAACTTACTCTCGCATTGGTTGGTATTTTTCCCCGAGTCTTTCTTCTATGCACTTCTAAGGTGGGCTCGCTATCGCTGCCTTCGGCTTCTCCTTCGGAACTGAATTCCTCCTCCTCGTCGCTAAATTCCGGACAAAGTCTCTCGTTGGGATCATTAGTCAGTCTTTTATCGTGGTCTACGGGTTGCGAGCACAGAGCTACGACACTGACCCTGGCCAGAACCACCGAATGCCCTCCATATTTCTCCACCTTGTCGGAAACTAATTCCAATTCCAAATCCATCTGCTTCTGAAGGACCTGCGAACCAATACCCCAGTTAACTCAGAACAGCAACAATCTCTCGTGATTTAAACAAGTAGATCGTCTTGACAGAGAGTAATGCAACAAAATACAATCGATGGTGTCCAAGCGAAAGGGTTGGGCGACGTTCTTGCTGGATAGTAATATATTTTAACGAATTAAGAAATTACCTCGTTGAAGGATTCGTCTTGTATTGTGTCTTATATTAATTTTATATTAATTTAACTGACTCACTTGTGCCATGTTGATGACTCCTTCAGCCAATGTTTTGTAGCCCAACATCGTGCGGTTCTTGTACCTCTTTCGCCTTTGCAGGAGTATCAGCAACTTGTTGCCGTCTCTCTTAAGGAAATGTGGATATTGGAGAGCGAACTGCAGCTCGAGCTCGGTATCCAGGACACCTCCAGACGGTACGGCCATTTCGTTAGAACGTAGAGTCCTCTTCGAGCTTTGCATTTTGACGGCGATGCTAATTGAAGCCAAGTCAGAACCCAGAGGTCGAAGAACCACCAACCGAGTGAGCGTGAGAGTGCATAGCCTAAAACCAATCACCCAATTACGACGTATCCTCTGATACTTATCACTTAAAAGCTCCTCACAGTCGTTATAATAAAATCCATGTAAAATCTATCAGGTACTCAATGAATGGAAAAATTGCCCTCTTCTTCAGATCGCGAGTTGAATTACGCAAAAATCCCGGGTTCGATTGCTAGTAGTTACTTTTTTACTTTATTCTATATTCACCCTTAAGGTGACGTGAAAGTGGCGTCGAAGAGGTTTTGTTAATAAAACTTTTCTCCCTCCTTGGTTTACCGAATAGTCTGAAACTTTACAACGTGAATAGGGAGACTATAAGGAAGGTCCTGAAACTCATGAAATTTCAATTTTANTTTTTTTTAACCACGTATTGGAAAGTGAGAACACGTGCGTAAGGAAACGTCACGTCGCGACAAATCGTTCGGAAAGGTGCGAGGTGATTGTTTCTATTTATGCAAGCAGTTCCTCTGCGGGGGTGGTTTCTAAAGGTAACCTTTATAGATATGACTACAGGTGCTAGTCGCAAGTATATCCACACTCGGGCGGGTACGCCGAGCATACATTTAATGTCTATTTACAGCCCACCTAGGTCGAGTTATAAAGACCCCGATAAAGAACTTCCGATTCGCGGCCGATGCCTCGTCCTTTGACGCCAGCCATGGAGAAATAATCGAGATAGGAGATATCCTTCGATATCCTTCGATTATCGTCACGTATTAACAATAAATTGAAACTCTATCCGGGAGAGTGAAGAAGAAAAGCTCCCCCGTCTCTCTAAGGATCCAATGCAACGAGTCAAAGGAGTATAGGAGAGGATATCACATCCTTCGGTATCAGATGTTACGTATACAAGAACACGTGGATTCCAATTTGACGTTAAAAGCGAGAACAATGTAAATCTTGCGGTAATGTGTAACTAAAATCTGAATTTTATACGGTATTTTCCAGGATTCACTGGGGGATATATTTTGCATCTAGAGTTAAATCCACAATGACTCTCTTTGATCCATTGGGTATACACGCAACTTACGTATACAAGAACACGTGGACTCCAATTTGACGTTAAAAGCGAGAACAATGTAAATCTAGCGGCAATGTGTAACTAAAATCTGAATTTTATACGGTATTTTCCAGGATTCGCTGGGAGATATATTTTGCATCTAGAGTTAAATCCACAATGACTATGATCCATTGGGTATACACGCAACTTACGTATACAAGAACACGTGGACTCCAATTTAATGCTAAAAGCGAGAACAATGTAAATCTTGCGGTAATGTGAAAATAAGATCTGAATTTTATACGGTATTTTCCAGGATTCACTGGGGGATATATTTTGCATCTAGAGTTAAATCCACAATGACTCTCTATGATCCATTGGGTATACACGCAACTAACGTATACAAGAACACGTGGACTCCAATTTAATGTTAAAAGCGAGAACAATGTAAATCTTGCGGTAATGTGAAAATAAGATCTGAATTTTATACGGTATTTTCCAGGATTCACTGGGGGATATATTTTGCATCTAGAGTTAAATCCACAATGACTCTCTTTGATCCACTGGGTATACACGCAAACTGTTACGAGGCGGCACGGATGACCTTTCGCGGTGATTTATACGTCAACGTCAAATGCCTACTTCCGCTGAGATTGAAATCCTCACCAAGAGGAAAGCCATGGTTTTCTATTGTTACCTGAGGGCACATAGAAGGCTGTTGCGCGGAAATTCACGGTATTATGGTCGCAGGAGAAGGAATAAAATCTTTAAGGACCGGTCGGGAACCCTTATTGAAAGTATTCCAAGTCGTCTATTTTTATTCAGTAGGGGAGAGCTGTCCTTTATTTTCAAATTCGATGGAGTGAGTTAATTGATAAGAAGACAGCTTAGGGAGAAATGTATGGTTTTAAAATCGATGTAATCCGTAGCAATGTGGGTGTCAGTTATCACTAACAGGCCCCTCTTCCCATAATTAAGTTTCCGGTTCGATGCCACGATAATTGTAAAATTGTAAAATCGTCCTCGAACGTGTCGAAATACATGTCAAATTTGTTTGTCTGCAGAAAAAAAAAAAAACGTTTAATATCAAGTCCTGATAAACACAAATTCATAACATGTACTATAAATTTATTACACGTGTGCACTAAATTTGTAATACACGTTATACATTTTATTTGAAAATATGTTATAAAATTATATTTTCTTTATTTTTTGATAACAGTGTAGTTGATCGTCGACTCTGTCCTCGTCCAACCGTATCATCCAATAGTGAGAGCTAATTTAACCCAAGCGCCGGTTATGCCAACTATTGCTACCAGTGTCAACTACTGCCAACTACTGGCTCGATTGCCAGTGGCGAGTGGATTTATTATTTAGTCCTAGCCGGCACTGGTCCAGTTTTTAACAATTGGCATCTTTTATGGTTTGGAATAGATCCGAATGCGGAGTTACGCGTAGATTTCTTAGGTACGCAAGTAGCTTGCATCGACATGCGCAATGGCGCAATTACGGCATACCGTAGCCACCACAAAGGAACTATTTGAAAATGATCTCACGTTGATTCACGATGACAAAACGATAGGTTGGTCAACTTTAATGTGTAGGACTAAGTCGATGTAGCCACGCGTGATATAAGTATGTATATAATAAAATGAATAAACAATGAAATTGCCTGCTCCATAGGTATAGATTTGCCCTCTGGAGGCTTTATCCAATTTCTCTGGCTTCGGTAAGTCAAATCTCCCTGACGTTTGCACAGGTGACGCGCAAAAGGCGCGACTCGACCAACCTGCGTAGAGAAACCCATTAAATCGATATGGTCCGCATCAGCCGAAAACCGCCCACCTCGCGTGCGAAACCCCCTGCAGTCTTTAACCTGCGTACGAAACCCCCTGAAGTCTTTAATTTGCGTGCGAAACCCCCTGCAGTCATTAACCTGCGTACGAAACCCCCTGCAGTCATTAACCTGCGTACGAAACCCCCTGCAGTCATTAATCTGCGTACGAAACCCCCTGAAGTCTTTAATTCTGCGTACGAAACCCCCTGAAGTCTTTAATTTGCGTGCGAAACCCCCTGCAGTCATTAACCTGCGTACGAAACCCCCTGCAGTCTTTAATTTGCGTGCGAAACCCCTTGCAGTCTTTAACCTGCGTGCAATGCCCGCAGGTCTCGCGTGGACGTGGCGTTTACCTGCGTGCACCTGTACACACCTGTGCCAATTACTATGAATCATCGGTCCAGCCCACCTACGAAAGGAGCACCACATTGTCAGAGTTGCGTTACTCGTATGCTCTTTCGTTGCACTTCTACATAGAGAATAAAAAGGAACATAGGATAAAAAAAGTGAATATTACTATAGAAAGTATCCGAGCCCTTGTTGACCGAATCGAATTAAAAAAAAAAAAAAACTTCATTTAACTGAATTTTTCTCTCGGGGTGAGAAACATGCCGGCCACTCTTTCGCTGCACTTCTACATAGAGAATAAAAAGGAACATAGGAAAAAAAAAGTGAATATTACTATAGAAAGTATCCGAGTCCTTGTTGACCCTATCGAACTAATTAAAAAAAAAAAGAAAAAAGAAAAAAAATAACAGTTCATTTAACTGAATTTCTCTCTCAGGATGAGAAACGTGCCGGTCACTCTTGCGGATACCGTAAATCGAAATGCAAGGCACTTAAGCCGAATTTAAAAGCGAAAGTGAGGGGGTAAAAGGAGGTAGTACTCGCGAGTATAAAAGTCCTTCATTTCGGTCTACCCGAGAGAAATAATGGCTCGTCTCGGAGTGAGAAGTCGGACGAAGGTTGAGAAATAAAGATTTCACGTCGATATTGATTCCTGCGGGTTTCCTCACTTTTTCTCTCTGCCTCGTTCGTCGTCCCTATTTCCGCTCTCCTTTCGCAAACGATAGGAGAGCCCCCGACATGCGATAAGAATCAGGCGCCACCGAGACGAGTAGACCCTAAGTACTCCGCTAATCGACCAACCTGGTGCAACGGTAACTACGGGTATATTTCTACGAGGTAATCGGAAAATCATCGGGGAAAGAAAAGCTCCCCGTCTAGGAAAGAGTTTCCTTGAATAAAAGCGGATTTATATCCTTCTGGGCAACCTGTGCTCCGTCTTTACTCTAAACAATGCAAGCGATTGCGCGGATGATCCTTAAGGGGATGTGAGAGTGGCATCCGAAAGCTCAATCGTTCATAAAACTTCTGTCGTCTTCATAAAGGTTCTGGAAGGCTGGAAGCTTTCGTGAGATTCTCAGCATAAGTACTCCCCGCGATTTACTTGCGTAAATTAATGCAAGCCACTGGAGTAAGCCTCGGGGAAAAAAAAATTTAGAAAATTATCATTTTCACGTTTTTAAGGTTTTGGAAGGCTGAAAGCTTTCGTGAAATTCTCAGCATAAGTACTCCCCGCAATTTACTTGCGTAAATTAATGCAAGCCACTGGAGTAAGCCTCGGGGAAAAAAAAATTTAGAAAATTATCATTTTCACATTTTTAAGGTTCTGGAAGGCTTTGGATTTCCCTAACGTCAGAGAGCCCATTAGAGTAGAAAAGTCCAAATTTCCACGACATCGGAAATTGTTTATCTTTTGAACGGTTCTGGTTTTTGTTAAAAAAAAAAATGCCACAAACAAAACTCAACATGGCCGAAACGTCTACATCAGGGAAACATTCCTATAAGCTTGTTAATTTTGTTTGAGCCTCAAACTGGATTCAGGACTTCGTCAGAGATCCAGAGCTGAGCAACGAGAAGAGGAATAATCAATTATCTACATGAGTCAATTAAACATTCCGATTTCAAGCCCTGGACTTTACTTTCATGCACATTGAGACGCGATTAAAGCTATTTAATGCGTTCTGCAGCCCCAACCGCAATACTAGCGTGTCAGATCGTATAACTTGAAAAGAAGAAAAATCGCCTAGCTTGTCAAATGTTCTATGAAATCCTGAATGGATATACGGTATGAACCGAAAGTCAGGTTCGAGTGACAGCTACCAATTGCTGTCTCCGTGGAGTTTGAAGGAATCGGTACAAATGATCAACTCGATGTTAAGGGTATACAAAGAGCCTAAAATGAAAATATAATTCCTGAGCCTTGTCTGTGACGTTTCATTTTATATATATGTATTCGATATATTAAAAAATACCGAAAATTGTGTCATGGCATGTATTAATCAATTTCACCATCCAAGGTTATTATTAGAATAAAACTGCTGGAGAGTAAAATTGGGAAGAGCTCGCTGGCGTAGGGATAATATCTCTGACATTCCAGTGACAGCTCGCATCCGCTTGGCGGAAGAAGGGTCTCGATTTCCTAGGAACAGTCGCAGATCGTGAAAGAAAACGAGGAAGCGAACGTCGAAAGCAGGGGCTCGAGGAATCGGGCGAAGATTTTACCCCAGAGTCTCAATAATCAGGGGAGAGAAGCTGGGGTCTCGGGAAAAGAAAGGGCGTGTATGCGAGAGCGAATCGTGGCGTCCGTCTTCGCCTCGACGACCGTTAGTTTCCTCGACTCTACCCCGCTATTAAAACCGAATGTAGGAATGCGAGCCGAGATATTAGGTTACCTAGGTATGCAGTTGGATGGCGTTCTATCGACCTCCCAAGTTGCGAAGAGTTTCATGGGAACGGGCCGCGTAGCCGGAGCACTCGTCTTCGTGCGTTCCGCCATTTTTCGGCCTATCGGCCCACGTTTGATACGCTCTTACACCTTAACCTCAACGCGACTTACGGTCAACTGATTGGACGAATTTAAGCTTCCGTTAGACGCATGCAGCGCCTCTCGCGGCGTTGCTGCCCAGCGGTTTGACCTCCCGGTTGGGACTCGTGGCGCCATCTCTCGAGCGAGGTCCTATACTACACAGGATTGCTCGATCCATATAGCCCCCATTGTGACGTCACCGACGGACCTATCACCCACACGTTTAACACTACGGAACGACATTTTATTCACTTTTCCTCGAACTTTCGGATACTTTTAAAGTAATTCCCGGGAAAATCAATTCTGTAATCTATCTTACGATTATAAGTACGTTAAATAGTGGTTATATTGATTTAAATATATATTAGTTGGCCCGCCGAGCACGCCAGTAAACAGATCGGTCGGTTTTTCCTAGACGGTCCAGCTAGTTGAGATCAGAGATAAGTTGGGAGATTGCTCACAGGCAGGGTCGCGCGATTGCCCTGTGCTGCCCCCTGGTGGTTAGTGCGGACGGCTAAACGACATGCGAACCAGGTTGGATCGGGTTGGATCAGGTTAGATCGCGTGTAAACGGCAGTCACGAATGCGGACACAGCGGCGAGGGTGAGAACAACAGCGACGGCGACTACGATAACGAGGGAGCACCGCGATGATCGCGGAAGTTGTCACGGCTGATTCACCGTGAGGGACTCTCGAGCACGGACGACAAGATTGTAACGAGAAGAGGATGCTGCAGGCGAGTTATTAAGTGGTAAACCGTCGCGAGTCGGGCCGCGTCCGAGGACTTGGGGCGAGTCGCGCCCGATGCGTACGCTCGGCGAGGAGGAAACGCGACACCCGATATCCTCGTCAGCGTCCGATCGCACCGCCAGAAGATGAACGGGTTAAGCTTCGGCGAGCTGTGCTGCCTGTTCTGCTGTCCGCCCTGTCCTTCCAGGATCGCCGCCAAGCTGGCCTTCCTGCCGCCCGAGCCGACCTACACCTTCGTCGAGGACGAGGGCTCCAAGTTTACGATCTCCCTCTCGGAGAGGGCGGAGTGGCAGTACACGGAGCGAGAGAAGGAGTCCGTAGAAGGGTTCTATGCGATGACGTCCAGACGCAACCGTATAGCCTGTTTGTTCGTCAGGTGCTCGGCGAACGCCCGATTCACTATTCTTTTCTCCCATGGAAATGCCGTCGACCTGGGACAGATGTCCAGCTTTTATTTGGGCCTCGGCTCCAGGATTAACTGTAACATATTCAGCTACGACTATTCGGGCTATGGCGTGTCGGGTGGCAAACCTTCGGAGAAGAACCTTTATGCCGATATCGATGCTGCATGGCATGCATTGAGGACACGTTATGGCATCAGTCCTGAGAACATCATTCTTTATGGCCAGAGCATCGGAACGGTTCCTACCGTCGATCTTGCTGCCAGATACGAGGTGGGCGCCGTCGTGCTACACTCGCCTCTTATGTCCGGAATGCGAGTAGCTTTTCCTAATACCAAGAGGACTTGGTTCTTCGATGCCTTTCCTAGGTAAGTCATGAGAGTAGATTCGTACTTTATTGGTCGTGTTAATACATGTCTTTTATTCGTGGTCTTTAAATGACATAAATGGTTAATGAAAATCTACCATTTGCATTAACAATTCTTTCGCTGCTTGGATATTCGTTCGGTACTTGAAACGCTTTTGGTATACTAGAACTTAGCTAGATGCATTTATCTTTCCTCGAGTAATTGTAAAAGTAGCATAAATCCCCTTCTCGCTATGAGAAGTACGTATCAACTATTTTTAAGAAATATTGTAAAATTTTTGGTACATTGAGAATTCAAATTGAATATTTTTGCTAAGTAAGATACGTAAGCTACAAGTATACTGATTTATACGAATACCATTCTTATGGATATTTCATAAATGTTTCTCTGCTTGGCTTTAAAGATGTATGTCATTGGGAATTGCGTAGAGGTTGGGAATAATTTTAGAACCATTCTCAGAACCTATTGAACTTTGTATGAAGCCTTTGGGCTGTCAAGATTTCTAATAGGCTTAACCAATGCAAAGGTACTTAAGGTATTGATTGGTGAACCGTGTGGTTTCTTGTAACACGTTTATTTCCTTGTAATGGTAGCATCAATTATAACAAAATCATGATTGTGGACTCGGTTCACTCGATTTCTCTGTGGTATTAGGTGGGAAAGAAATGAGATGAGAATTTAAAAAATGTTCCATCGTAATGTTCCATCCAAGTTAAATGTTGCCTTTTATTTTTACAGTATAGATAAAGTACCAAAAGTGACATCGCCAGTATTGGTCATTCATGGGACTGAAGACGAAGTCATTCATTTCAGCCATGGTCTGGCGATCTACGAGAGATGTCCCAGGGCTGTGGAACCTTTATGGGTTGAGGTATGCCATGAAACTTTTGTCAATATTTAACCCAGGACAACAGGAATATTTTAGTGTCACTTACCCAAATAAAATTAATAAAGAGAATGGAGAGATTGTATCGATAAACAGTATGGAGTGAAAAAAATTGATGTAATCTATAGGACCAAGTATCTATTTTTTTTTTTCGTTAAACAATGAATCAGTATATATGCGATCCATTGAGACTATGAGGAAGTTCGGTAAAGCTTCAAAACAAATACTTTTACATATACTTACGTATGTATGTTTGAGTGATGAGTCCTTACGTCTAGTTTGGACATGTTAAATTCATAAGAATAAACTGCTGAAATATAAAAAAATATTCAAAGAGACTTCGCTCACGTTTCAGGGTGCTGGTCACAACGACGTGGAACTGTACAATCAGTACTTAGAGCGATTAAAGCAATTCGTCAGCGTGGAGTTGGTAAACTGACGGCGACTTAGCCTCTCCCAAAACCAGGGAGGGCAGGGAGGAGGACACTTGCACGGGAGCAGTCAGGGATATTCAATTTCAAATAATTCAAATACGATCAGCTCTATTTCGACCAGCTCGCCGACAGAGAAGCTTCTATAGCAGTCGCCTTCCGCAGGGGAGGACACTTTGATCCTTCCCTGTGACGGAGAGCCGTCGCCTCTTTATAGCGACGAGGTTTTCTTCTTCTCCGAAGACCAGCCTGTAGGGCAAAGTGAATCGAAGATCGAAGCACTCTGTCAGAATAAGGAGCGAAACTTTCAAGGGCTCTCAAAAGACGCGGATGTTCCATTGGATCGGAGTGAAATCAAGCAGATGAAAATAATCACCAACACTTTAACGCAAGATGAAAACAAAAGGAGTGTGCAAATCGAAGCTAGTTGTTGCGACCTGAAAACTGAGACCGTTGATTCAGCTAAGAAGTACTCGACTCTGCCTGCAAAGGAAAGCGACAGACAAACTGGACACTCTAGTATAATAAAAATTCAAGTAGAGAATTGCTCGCAGTGTGTGGACAGTGTCAAATCTTCGTTCTTTACAACTTCTGGGAAGAGATTCGAGGATGGCAAGAGCAAGGACTTGCATTGCAAAGCGAATCTTCCTCGGGTTAATTATAATTCGATAGAATCCATGGCCGAGACCGATTGTACAAAAAGCAGCAAGTCACGCTGCGGTAGCAAAGCATCCATCGTGCATTGTATAACGAAGAGTAAAAAGTGTAGTAATGCTAGTAGCATCGATGGAATGAAAACTGCGGATTCGATGAGGAAGTATTTGTGGGGGGGGAATAAAAGTTCAAAGAGCCAGGCAGTGAAAACGCTCGAAAAGTCCAAAGTACAAGAAGGAAAAAATTCTATGGTTAAACCGCTGAAATATAAAAAGGCTTCCAGTCCCGTTAAAAAGGTCAGTCGCTCTTCGTTGACCATCGATGCAGCTAAAGTTACAATAAATTTGTCGAAATACTCGCCATGCGCCAGCAGGTTAGCCGCAAGTTCAAAAATCCTTTCCAATAACTCGTCGACCAGTCTGGAGAATTCACCACGGACCGTTAGTTCCAGAAGCCCTTTGCCTGTAGATGTACAGATTGAAGAGACTCAGAAGCCACCAGAGAAGGTTACCATCCAGGCGAGCTTGTCTTTGAACATTCAACAAATTCAAAAATCCAACTCGACTCCACGCAGCAGAAGCGTAGGTGACAGTTGCGTGACATCACCGACTAGCGAAGCAACCACGCTGAGCTACTCGCCGACTGGAACGGAGATCCTGTCTTTGGAAGAGGTCGGTCCACAGATTTCAGTGACCGACACATCGGGGAATTACATGGACGTCAAAGACAAACTGGGGTGCGAGTTCCCTGACAAGGCCCAGAAAGCAACGCTTGAAACAAAGTGCTAATGCTAGAGTTAGTTATTGAGCCCGCTGAGTGGAGCTTTTTTTCCTTCCTCGTGATTCCAATGGGGGAACTCACAGATTTTTACGATGCTGTGGTGTCGTTGAGTGATGTAGTGCCAGTGAGACTATACATACCACGTTTGTAAGATTTATTATAGTATTTGTACGGACTAAAGAGTATATGTGTAAAGTTAAAGAAACTGATTCTACGGATCTAGATGCGGAACGTTGTTGCGATGGATACGTTGAGCGTTATTATGAAACGAGGGAATTGATTGACTTACGAGTAACGAGATCGGCTTGTTGCAACGGTGGCTGCGCGTTTCCTCTTCGTATCTCAAAGGAGCTTTCCATGCTTTTTACTCAACGGTCTGGTTGAGTACTCCCTTCTCATTTTTCTTCCCACTCGAACAACAATATCGATTGTTGGCATTCGGTTATCCGAGTACCATGCATCGACGTCAAGTGCGTTTCTAAATTGAAAGTGCCAAAGAATAAGTGCGTCCGTCAGGTGACATGTCTGCAATGTCCGACAGTGTGCACAGTTCTGGGACTCGTTGATTGTCCCGGACTTACAAAGTTATACCGATGAATCACCTCTTCTCTTCTCCTCTTCTCTTCTTCTCGGAGACTTACCTGACAATCGTAAGCTCAAGCAAAAGCCTCGATTATGACGGTTGATTAATTCCTAACGTGTCGCGTTAATTTGAAATATTATCATTTTGTTACGCTACTTATGCTAAATCGTTGGAAGCCTTTGAGCGAAGTGTTACGGAAGTATTTTTCTTTGGGTTCACCTCGAAGAGATTGTGTAAATGGGGCTATGTTCTCCGTGTGTTCCAAATGTCATCAGACCTCTTCGATACTCTTGGAGCAATTTACTTCTACCGGGGTGCGTTCCATTTAGGGTCTATGATTTAAAATTTAATCGTCGTAGTATTATACCACTTTTAAGCGTAGGCTTGGTCGAACATTCTTATTAGTAGTGAGGTCCACTTTTGACGCAACGTTCTTCTACGCAGTCATGATGCCTGGACATAGCGAAACAACTTTCCCTTGTAAAAAGGATCGTACGTGTCGTCATTAGCAAAGAGTCACTGCGGTTAATTAATTAATATTCTAATATTAGATCCGTAAAGACCCACCAAATAGAGCTAACTGGAAATCTTCCAACGGAGTGATCGATCAATGCTCAGGCAGCTTCGGTCAGGATGCAAAATGCTGCCGCAGAGTGTTGTAACAATATCTTGCGTTTTAACCATGAACCTAAGGGGAAGTAATCTTGTATACGAGGAGGAAAAGGAGAGAGGCAAATAGTTAGGGACAATATAACTGCCAAATTCAACTATGGATTAGTTAACTTCTAAATAAATGAATTATCCGAAGGACTTGGACCGTGCGTTTCTTGTTAGTATTTTTATATCGCAAGTGTGTAAATATCACGAGTGCACATCCACGTGGAAAGGTTGTCTTCTTCATCTTCTTCTTCGTTTTTTGTAGACCGCGAGGCACGGCGTATCGGTGCCGAGCCAATGGAACAAAATTCAAGTCCGAAGCATCGTTTTTTACTCTGGCTTTTAAACGTTTTATAAGGCAGCGCCCCTCCTGTCGACCCGACGCAATTTTTCTAATGCATTTCAGTCGCCGCAGGATAATATAACTTACGACTACGTAATAAGTAATGGCTCTTGTGTAAGCTTACCTGTAAGGAATGTTAACAATTGGACCGCGGTATACCGAGAGGCCGGTACTCTAAGTGTGCTCAATCGAAGTCCTTGCGAGCTTGGACTTTTTTACGGCGGTATGAAATTATGAAAAGAAAAAATCCCTTATGGAATTTTTCTCCGAATGGGGTGCACGGAATTGTTTGAAACTTTACCATGTGAATGTGAAAACTCTGATGAAGGTCTCGACACCCTTGAAATGTTGCTTTTCTTTACAAAAAATTAAGAAATATTTATGAACGTCAAGGAATTAATTTTCATGGGTGTCAGGGCTTTCTTTAGAGCGTCCATATTCACATAGTAATGTTTCATACGATTCGGTACACATTTGGAGGAAAGCTTCATGGATGAGACCCTTCAGGCACTACTTTTATGTCACCTTAAATTTTCATGTCTCACCTGTACGAAATGTCAAGTGGCATTAAATCCCCAACTGGTTTGCGTGGCTTTGTTAAAATACTGCCAGGGGTAGTTGCTTTTAACGCAAGTTCTGTCTCTTCGCCGATCTTGGGAATTTGTTTCATTGACAAGCGTTCGCTTAACTTTAACTTTGTCTGAGAAGGTCTGTATCTTCTGCGCTGATAAAAATCCCCGTGTAAATTTACATATTCAATAATTAATTATTTCCATGCCAGAACAAATTGCAGTTAAATTACATTGTCTCTGTAATGTCACATTCGGCATCTAAGTTAAATTGAAGGAAATTATAACGTAATGTTACATTTAATTCGAGTTAAAACGCACTGATGCGGTTAAATATACAGTGTTACGTGCGTATATACATTTTATAACTTAATTCAATATGCATTTTATAATGTAATTCCTCCATTTTACGGTTTTCTATCCGAAGCTTCGGTTATGAGGTGTGTACACGTGTATGTAAATTTTCACCGACTTTTTTATCAGTGTGGGGAATTAATTAACGAGCGTTGCGAAAGGGAATCATTTGTATGGCGAAATCATTGTTTGCGATCCTCTTCTTAATATCGAGGCGATAATTCGCTCTCTCTCTCTCTCTCTCTCTTTCTTATTTCATGCGTGCAAGGAGAGGCGCTTCGTACGTCTGCGAATTTCAATTAATCGCAATTACTGCAGGTGCGAGTACAGGTGTACTTTCTGTCGGGCTCGGTGTATGCTAAGTGATACAAAGTGCAATGACTTATCTCGATAAAACGCGTACCGATGTACCTAAACTGAGAAGAAAAAGTATTCATTTAACCGAAGAAATATTTCCCTAATGCAAGGAACAATTGAACTGAAAATAAATTATAATAATTCCGGAGAAATTTGACAGGCAATTTATTCCAGGTCATTCGAGTATCAATTGTTCATTGAATTAACAATATGTTTCTCTTCGGTACCGTTCGAAGAAATATTTCCTTGGTTGAATGACATTTTGTTTTCCTCGGTGTAACAGGTGCAATCTTAAGCCCGAGGTAAATGTCCCTTATTAATGTTTATCATTTTATGTCAGGCTTACCATATCAATAGGCGACTTTGCACCGGACTTTGTCAAGGCTTTTACGTAATGCGATGTTTAATTTATACGAGTTTGCTTTTCCAAGCTGCGTCCCGGGGAATGCCCGATAAGAACGGTCGCAGAATCTCTTATCGATTGTACCGCGAGGTCCCTCAATTTAATTGTTACGATTGCTCGCTAATTACGATTAATCGCCGGTAACGCACCTATACTGAGAAAAGGAGGAAGATAGAATCGAAGAAATATTTCTTTGAACGGTTCCCGAAGAAATGTCTCGTTAATTCAAGGAATAATTATCTGGCTCAAAGAATTAATCTTTCGAATTGGCAAAATATTTTTTCCTTTTTTGGAGCTGGTCGAAAAGCTAATTTCTCGGGTTAATTGAATTCTCATTTTCTCAGTGTACGTTTTAGAGGATCCCTGAAGACTCTTGTTCGCCTCTTAGCTGTCTAGAATCTTGTCTCTGTATTTCTTTCGTCGGTCGAGATAAGCCCTCTTTATTAGTCGATAATTAAGTAATTTAAACTAGAGGTCCTGTTTGAAATTTGTATATCGATGTGGAGCATTTAATGTGGGAAATATGTCGCAGACCAGAGAGGCGTATAGAAAGCATCCAGTAAATGCTTCAATGTGGCAAAATTTATAATATAGTTACCATTAAGGTGTATGACAAATCTTAATGTATCACTACGTATAGATTAATTTCCGTTCAGTTCGGTGAAGAAAAACTTCTCCGAAAAATTCTTTTATCCTAGTTAAAGGAAGGATTTGCTGCGTGCTCGATGTACGCATTTTTGGCGTGCGTCCTAACGTTTAAACGTTTTTTTCTTTCTTTCTTCTTTTATCTACATCCTCGTAGAAGTCTCTCTCAATCTCGACTGTGCTCTTCGTTGTTATCGACCCATTCGATTCGGTAGATTTAATTTATCTCGTGTTAAATAGCGCCGAGATATACGTAGAAGACTTTACGATTTAAGTAAGGTCCTCGGATTTATTAATTTCGCCTATTGTTAAACGTGACTCTTATCGTTTAAACCTGCAGACGGTCACGTTTGAATTCGGTAATTAGCGTGTACAATTAGTCCCTAATGGCATTCTCGATGCAACTGTGTATTATTATTCGTATAAGGAAGCGCGAAGTTCGATCGCGTCGAGGTGCACTGTAACAATCGATATTTAAACGAACACCCTTAGATATATTACGACATTGCGGAATGAATTGCACCTACGGGAATGGTTGCTCGAGTTGTTAGAAAATTTGAGAAAAAACGAAAATTCTTCCGGCGTATACCTGTGTGATTAAGGAGAAAAAAAATTGTTGTTTAATGTAAAGTCACTTTTTGAGGGAATTCACGGAGAGGAGTGCCTCGACTCGGGCGGCCATTTTCTTTTTTGTGGCGGAAATCGTTTTTCTTTTTCTTTTCTCCTTATAAACGTGGCAAGGCATGCGTTCGTCGATTAACTTTATTCCAAGGGAAGACGAAAAGAGAGAAGAAAATTAACGAAAGGGCTGAATCCCTGGTACCGATTGTTATAATTAAGTAAGCCTAGGGTAATTAGTGCAAAACCTAACGCGGTTGTTCCGTTCCATGGAGCAAAATACTGCGAGGATGCATTTATGGTATTATGGTGCACGCGATATTTCGGGCGTGTGCGGGATGTTTTCAGAGTGCATTTAACAGAGGATAGTGTCGTTAAAATTAGAGTTGTAACGTATAGGTGATATATTTAGGCACTGATTGAATCCTCATTCCATTGGCTCTTTAGCTGCGTTGATTACACTGTAAAACACTGCCCCTGGGCAATGGTAAATGAACGTTTGTAATTCCGTTGGAATGTCGCACTTGCTATTCCTTTAGGTGTGTTCGGGGGAGATAAAAAGAAAAAGGAAAGAAATGGAAAATGGTTTCGGACCGACGAGGACATTGTGGAGGTGTTCCTTCGATGGCCCTTTGGATAAAGGAAATAGAAAAGGACGTATTTTTAGTGTGAACGTTTCTCACCCTTTGTGGAATTCTTATGGAGAAGAATTAATTACCTGGGACACAATTAAAGCTATAGTTACTCGTACACTGGGAGACATCAATGCCGTCTCATCCTGCACAGGCGATGCCGTATCTGCAGGGGAGGCATTCATGTCCGCCATTGTACACTGGGAAACATCAATGCCCTCCCATCCTACACAGGGGATGCCGTATCTGCAGGGGAGGCATTCATGTCCGCCATTGTACTTTCGTTACAATGTCACTTTTACCGTCAGCGCAATTATAAGTAATAAACTAAAGTAAGGGGGAAATTTTACCGGCAAGGAAAACTGTGTTAATAGTGCTAATGTAATTTTTCTGCATTTTTCTTTTCTTTTTTTCTGCATCTCTTACACATTGTCCTCGTCGAGAGATGTTCTTTAACACCGGCAAGAAGGAAAAGAGGCTCAATAAAACTCGGAAGTAATCGTAAACGCGCCGATATGTAGTACAGTGTACATACACATAGCATAATGTTATACACCTAACTTGTAAGGAGGGCCAGATATATGATAGTGATTACTGAAAGAAGAAGAGGAAGAAAAATGGAGGGAGGAACGAGAGGCGCGGCCGTTTTCCCTTTAGTCCTATTTAACGTGTACTTATTGTCGCCGACTCGAGAGAGAGGGTACGATAATGTGATCTACTGTATAAACGGCGGAGAAATGGAAATAACGAAGGCCAGGGGGGACATCTTAAGACTCGAAGTTTCGCGTTCACTCGGGGGAGAAGAACAGGGATACGTCGAACCAAAGGAAGCGATTTAATTCATTAAAGGAAATAATTATCCGACTCGACAATGAACTCGAATGAATTGCCATAATTCCGAAGATACGTCGCGCCCGATTTATTCCGGTTTATTTCAGTCGAATGATTAAATCATTCTTTGAATTAACTTAGTATTTCTTTGGTAGCGCGCGGGTACAGTGACGGAAATTGATATGTTACTTTATTACACATCGCAGTGAAGGCATTCATGTCTCCCGGTGTACAGTGGTGGACATAAATGCTTTCTATTACACGCTGGGGGAGAGTACTTGTAAGAAGGATATGTTTAACAGTGTACAGTGGGAGATGTGAACGGTCTTTTCATTATGCATTCGCATTTCTAGTATGCAAGGAAGGCATTCGTGTCCTTCACTGTACAGCGGCGGACGTTAATGCCTTCCTTATGGATACTTTTCTGCCAGGGTGTAAACGGAAAACTAATGTCCGTTTCTGTGCAAACGGGGACTTGGAATCGCGATGCTTCTTGTCTCAAGAGAATCCTGCTCCTTAAAAGTTCCGATATACAACCATGTACCGTATTACCAAAAAGGAAAGGGGTCAAATGAGAGAAGGAGCGAGAGTGCCGCTGACACTTTCTCGAGTATTTCATTGCTGCCGTACAGAGTTCTTTGTTGGGATTTTTTTTTATCTTTTATTTTTTGTTCTAAAGGCGATTACACGTGTAACGATAAGTCAGCGTTTTGTGATCTACGCAGTTAAATCGAATTCTTTCGTAGCGTTAAATATGTACAGATTATTAGTAACGATTCATATTTCCTGGCTGTTAAATCGAGTTTTATTGCGTTTACACCGTCGGCTAAAACTGTACAGATCGGTTTGTACAAATTTATAGCAACGATCTGTAGTCGGTGCGGTTTAATCTTGTTCTACGAAATCCACGCGTTAGTTAAATCTGTACAGATCGGTTTACACCGATTTATCGTCACGGGTGTAGTCGGTTTAAGTAAGGGGGCGGAACAAGAGTAACGGGCACGAACTCTGGTAGGATCCGAAGAAAGGATGCGTAGAATTTTTGTACCTCCACTGCACTCCATGCGTGCGCGGGAAAGAGAGAAGAAAAAAAACACACAAATATAAGAAACATGATGGAACAATTCGCTGATCCTGTGGAACATTCACTATGTATAATTGCAATGTAAATTACACGTTTAAGCACATTATAAGTCGATATTGTATTACCGTCGCTGGATTACATCTTGTACTGTCATGAAAACGCAGCACAGTGTTATTGGTGCACAGGGATGAGTTGGGAGATTGCTCACGAGCAGGGTCGCGCGATCACTCCTGTGCTGCCCCCTGGTAGTCGGTGCGGGTAGCTAACGTGCTTGCCACCTGTTCCCCCCTCTGTGGTGGCGCAATTCTTTTCTGGTGGGGGCCTCGCATTCGCGATGGCGGTGCCATCTAACAGTCGCCGCTGGCGGCTCACGCACTCGTGATGGTAATACCATGTGGCAGTTGACGGTGGTAGCTTACCTACGCTTACCGATACCGGTCACATTTGAAGGTAAGGGAAGGACACCCGTGGCGCCCTCTTCGACCTTACCATTCACTAACCTTTTTTATTTTTTCCGCAAATTATACAGGCAAAATTGCAACGCGTATGCTCGAGAGTATTAGTTATGCTTTATATATGATTTTTATAAGCTACGGAAATTAATAGAAAAAATGAATGTTCCCTATGAAAGACATAAGACCTAGATGGAAAGTGCTAGTTTTACAGTTCACAGCAATCGAATAGAATGCATTACGGTTATGTAATTTTTTATTCTTGGGCTTTTTATTGTTAGTTTCATTATCCATACTATGATTTTATTAATTAATGTGAAATTGCAATAATTTAAATTATAATCATCATATTGAGAGTGAATTAGTAAAAAGGCACGTACTGAATGGGACCCTGCCCGTGAGCAATCTCCCAACTCATCTCTGTTTATATGATCGATCCATCTCGTCCATGGTGCTCCCAATTATCTCTGAGTTGCGCCGCCATTGGGGGGCAAGTGCGTGAGCTGTCCGCATTCTCCACAGAGGGCAGCTCAGAACGCGATCCCGAGATTTACTCGTGAGCAATCTCCCAATTCATCTCTGGTATATATTGGAGGTTGGAGATTTCGAGTGGCGTAGAAGGAGGAAAGAATCATCGATCGTGATCGGTTTTTTTTAACGAAGCTGGTGCCCGAATATTGTATAAATAATGGCGTACCATTATGTGGTGACTGCTCACAAGCCCACCGCAGTAAATGCTTGCGTGACCGGTAAGGGAATTAATTTCTATACTTTGATAGCGCGTCCAAACAGGCCAAAATGGTTAACGTTAATGAACACGCTTCTCTGTCCCCGTCAAGGTAATTTCACATCTCCTACCGATTTGAATTTGATTCTCGCGAAGAACAGGCGGCTGGAGATTTATCTCGTAACCCCGGAAGGACTGCGACCTTTGAAAGAGGTTGGCATTTATGGAAAGATCACCGTCGTCAAGTTCTTCCGACCGCCGGTAAGGTTACCACGGAATCCATTTTTCTTTCCCTGCGCTAATTGCAGCGATATCGCTGCGATGAAGTAAACAACCTGCGAGAGATCCTCTGCCGACGTCCAAGTGCCTCTTTGGATCCTATGTTACGCATCGTATGAGTAATCTATCACATTTTGTTTATTTTGCAGCACGAAAAGAAAGACCTCCTGTTTCTCCTGACCACACGCTACAATGCGATGATCCTGGAGTGCATCGGAGAAGGAGAAGACATTGAAATTATCACAAAGGCTCACGGAAATGTTGCCGATCGCATCGGGAAACCCTCGGAAACTGGAATCAAGGCGGTGATCGACCCTAAGGCTCGGGTCATCGGTCTGAGGCTGTACGATGGTCTCTTTAAAATTATCCCACTGGATAAAGATAATCCGGAGTTGAAAGCTTCTTCCATACGGATGGATGAGTTACTGGTGCAGGATGTGAACTTCCTTCACGGGTGTGCCAATCCGACGCTGATCCTGATTCATCAAGACATTCATGGAAGACATGTGAAGACTCATGAGATCTCACTGAGGGATAAAGAGTTTGTGAAGATACCATGGAGGCAAGACAACGTCGAGAGAGAAGCTATGATGGTGATTCCTGTCCCTTCCCCAATTTGTGGGGCGATTATAATTGGACAAGAAAGCATTTTGTATCACGATGGCACCACTTATGTCGCCGTTGTCCCTCCGATCATAAAACAGAGCACCATCACTTGTTACGCCAAAGTCGATAATCAGGGTCTTCGATATTTGCTGGGAGATATGGCAGGGCACCTTTTCATGTTGTTCCTGGAGCAAGAAAAGAGACCGGATGACACGATGGTGGTGAAAGACTTGAAAGTCGAGCTACTCGGGGAAGTCAGCATTCCGGAATGTATTACTTATTTGGATAACGGAGTCATCTTCATCGGCAGTCGCCTGGGAGATTCTCAATTGATTAAACTGATCACCAATGCCGATGAAAATGGCTCTTACTGTGTGCCAATGGAGACCTTCACGAATTTGGCTCCTATTATCGACATGGTTGTTGTCGATCTAGAGAGACAAGGACAAGGACAGATCGTTACGTGTTCGGGAGCATTCAAGGAGGGTTCTTTACGGATCATAAGGAACGGCATCGGAATTCAAGAGCATGCTAGCATCGACCTGCCTGGAATCAAAGGAATGTGGGCGTTGAGAGTTGGCGGAGGAAATTTTGATAACACTCTTGTATTGTCGTTTGTTGGACAAACGAGAATATTGACTCTGAATGGGGAGGAAGTAGAAGAGACGGACATACCAGGGTTCGTTGCTGATGAGCAGACTTTTCACACAGGGAACATCAGCGACGATCTCTTTATTCAGATAACACCCTCGTCGGCAAGGTTAATATCTTTCGAAACGAAGACCATCGTCTCGGAGTGGACTCCAGAGAACAAGAGAACCATCAGCGTGGTGGCTTGCAACAGCTTGCAGATTCTCTGCGCAACAGGGAATGATCTCTTTTACATGGAAGTGTGCAGTGGGCAAATCGTGCCCAAAGGACGCACTACTCTGCAACACGAAGTGGCTTGTTTGGATATTTCATCGCTGGAAGGCTCTGGTGATGCTCGTCTCGCCGCGGTTGGATTGTGGACCGACATCTCCGTTCGTGTGTTGACTCTGCCTGGATTACAGGAAATCAATAAGGAACTGCTCGGTGGAGAGATCATTCCTCGATCAATACTCATGACGTGCTTCGAAGGTAACACGTACCTTCTCTGCGCTCTCGGAGATGGAAGCATGTATTACTTCATTCTTCACAAACAGAACGGCATTTTGTCGGACAAGAAGAAGGTTACCCTGGGGACCCAACCGACCGTGTTGAAGACCTTCAGGTCGCTTTCCACCACAAATGTGTTTGCATGCTCTGACAGGCCCACCGTAATTTATTCTTCGAACCACAAGTTAGTCTTCAGCAACGTCAACCTGAAAGAAGTGAATCACATGTGCTCCTTGAATGCCGAGTCCTATCCTGACAGTCTTGCTCTTGCAACGGATAGCACCGTCACTATTGGCACCATCGATGAGATTCAGAAGCTGCACATTCGCACCGTTCCTTTAGGGGAGTCGCCCAGGAGAATCGCTTATCAGGAGACTTCGCAGACCTTCGGAGTGATCACAATGCGAGTCGATATGCAGGAGACTAGTGGAATTAGTATTGTGAGGCCATCGGCTTCTACGCAAGCTGCCTCAACGTCTAATAGCAGTTACATCGCCTTGCACAATAAGCCAGGACACACGGCCAGTGACATTGGCCAGGAGGTGGAGGTACATAACCTCTTAATCATCGATCAACACACCTTCGAGGTGCTCCACGCCAATACGTTAATGCCCACGGAGTATGCGATGTCTCTGATTTCGACAAAACTAGGAGAGGATCCCACGTCGTATTACATCGTTGGTACGGCTCTGGTCAGTCCAGACGAGTCGGTGCCAAAAATGGGGAGGATCATAATGTACCATTGGAACGATGGAAAGCTCATTCAGGTGGCGGAGAAGGAAATTAAGGGAGCTTGCTGTTCGATGGTTGAGTTCAACGGAAAGCTTCTGGCCAGTATCAACAGTACAGTGAGGTTGTTCGAGTGGACCGCGGAGAAGGAACTCAGGCTGGAGTGCAGTCATTTCAATAATATCATTGCGCTGTTCCTGAAGACCAAAGGAGACTTCGTGCTGGTGGGCGACCTCATGAGATCTCTGACTCTGCTCCAGTATAAAACCATGGAGGGGAGCTTCGAAGAGATCGCCAGAGATTATAACCCTAACTGGATGACAGCCATCGAGATACTAGATGACGATACGTTCCTGGGGGCTGAGAATTGCTTCAATCTCTTCGTCTGCCAGAAGGACAGGTTGGTGTCTAGTGAATTACGTTTCATATAGTCAGGACATAATCGAGTCGACGGATGTATTTAAATAGATAGTGTCCGGATAATTAATGATAATTATGATACCATTCAATCGACAGCGCTGCAGCCTCGGAGGACGAGAGGCAGCAGATGCAGGAAGTCGGCCAGTTCCACCTGGGGGACATGGTGAACGTGTTCAGGCACGGTTCCCTGGTGATGCAGCATCTCGGCGAATCCAGCACGCCGACCCAGGACTACGTGCTATTCGGCACCGTCAGCGGGGCTATCGGCCTCGTCACGCAGATCCCGGCAGGCTTCTACGAGTTCCTGCGGAACCTCGAGGACAGGCTCACCTCGGTGATAAAGAGCGTGGGCAAGATAGAGCACAACTTCTGGCGAAGTTTCAACACGGACTTGAAGATCGAGCAGTGCGCCGGCTTCATCGACGGCGACCTGATAGAGAGCTTCCTCGACCTGAGCCACGAGAAAATGGCCGAGGTCGTGCAGGGGCTCATGGTAAGCGACGTATCATTGAATATTAATATTGAGACAAAGAAAAATAATATATAATGTGAATGGAACTAATCGCGATAAGCATGTCCAGTTTCTGGTATTTTATTCGACTACCGGTCTCTGCCAATGGTTTACAAAGAAAGTCTGAGTTTCTTGTGATTTCTAGGTATGCGACGGTAACAGCATGGTGCAGGCCACGGTGGACGACATAGTGAAGATCGTGGAGGACCTGACGAGGATGCACTGAGCGCCTGGGTGCACCAGGGTGCATGCACCTCCTCGACAAGTCAGCGACCGGTCACGTCCCATGGGAAAGTCGCTGGCGTTCTTCGGGAAAGCGAAACTAGGAGAAAAGGGAGCGCCGAGAGCCGGCTTTCCGCGCGACCGAGGATCCAATACGTCGACCCTGAGCCGGTGGTCCGCTTCCCCGAAGAGGATGCGTTCCCGCCCAGATCTCCCCGCGGCTGCGTTTGCTGCGACTCCGCTTGCTACGACCATTCGTCGACTCGTTACGGAAAAACGCGAGAGCAGCAGGCGTTGGTCCAGCTCTCGTTCAGCTCTTCAGCGGTCGAGGAGGCCTCGACGAGGCGAAGAGCCACTCGCGCAGCTTCTCGACGCCCTGGCCGGTCATGCCGCTCACCTCGAGGACGGTGATGCTCTGCTCGATCTCCCGCTGGAGCCGGGCGAAGTGCAGCATCAGCAGGGCCTCGTTTCGCATCTGCCGGTAGGAGAGGTCCATCTTCGAGAGCACCAGGGCTATCCTGGCGGCGCCCAGCAAGGGCTCCACCAGCAGCGAGTAGAGCAGCACTCCGGCCGCGCTTATTTGGCAGAGGTTGCTGGCGTCCACCACGTAGATTATCTCGCGTACCTGACGGGTGGAAGTCGAACCATCGATTATAAGACGGCTTTCGCCTTGGCGATATGGTATTCAAGGTGATAAGAGAATTTAGGATAGAATCTCGGTGAAGAATCGGGCTAGCCAGAAATTGAGATCACGCGTTGAACATTAATTAGGAGGCCGGAATGCAGGAAACCGTGATTGGCGCGATGTTTCTTAACTAGGATTAGTTAACCTCGGATTCAGGAATCGTTAGTTAGCTCTCCAATCGCGGTGCGTTGACGCGCCCCTGTGCGACACACGACTCCGGTCGATCGCGTCGCTGAAAATCGCCAATGTGGAAGCCGTCTTTGTCAGAGAATCAAAAGAAAAAAGAAATCTCGCTCTTCGACATCGCCAGATCGCGAGGGCCCTCGGCGAGAGAGGAGCCACGTCTTAAGGTCGCGGAAGTACCTTAGGAAATCGAGACCAAGGACTCTTTACCGCGTTCCCGTAAATTCCCCTATTTTCTAACGATCGCGTATAATGTGTCCTGACCCGCGAGACGACGCGTGCAGGAACCGCGCGAGGCTATCAATTATTAACTATTAATTATTAATTAAATCTCGCGACCGCGTCGTCCTTGCACGCCGCTCAGCGGGAGGTACCGGTACCGAGTTTGTACCGTAATTGTTGTCACCCTAGTTACTTGGGCGCGGATTGTGTACCAGATTGTGAGGCTTGACACTGGAGAAGTATCCGATGATTGTTATTAAAAGGCTTTTCGAGATCCCGGGGGCATTTTAATGCGTAGAGGATCGGGAGGGAGGGAAGCGACGTCGGTCGCGGAAGGACCTCTTAGGTATCGGGTATCTACGAAGTACCTCAATTTTAGCGCTAAAGACGTCTATTATCTCTAGCTTTGTAAATAGTTGAAACGCGTATTTTTCGCGACAGAAGACGTCCTTTGTCCGGCTACGTACTTTAGCGTTGGAAGGTGTCTTTTGTCTTTAATAAATGGCTAAACTGTGTTCTTTTAGTCCTAGAAGAGAGGTCTTTCGTCTGTGATAAACGGCTAAAGTACGTGTTTTAGCCGCGGGAGACGTTAACGAATCTTTAAGGTGATGTGAAAGTGCCGTCGAAGAGGTTTTGTTTATAAAACTTTTTTCTCCCAACTCGGTTTACCGAATAGTTTGAAACTTTACAACCTGAATAGGGAGACTATAAGGAAGGTCCTGAGACTCATGAAATTTCAATTCTTTTCAAATTTCTTTATAGATATTTTAAAAATAGTTTATACAAAAATGAAATCTCGTGAGTTTCAGGACCTACCTTAGGGTCTCCATATTCACGTTTTAAAGTATGAAACGATTTGAGACACACAGTTCTATGAAAAGTTTTATAAACGATTGTGCTGTCGGATGCCAATTTCACATCCCCTTAAGGCGATATGAAAGTGACATCGAAGAGGTTTTGTTTATAAAACTTTTCTCCCAACTCGTTTTACCGAATAGTTTGAAACTTTACAACCTGAATAGGGAGACTATAAGGAAGGTCCTGAAACTCCTGAAATTTCAATTCTTTTCAAACTTCTTTATAGGTATTTTAAAAATAGTTAATAAAAAATGAAATCTCGCGAGCTTCAGGACCTACCTCAGGGTCTCCATATTCACGTATTAAAGTATGAAACGATTTGAGACACCACTTTCACATCCCTTTAATCGGCTTAAATACATATTTTAGCGTTTCAGGACGTATATCTCGTCCCTAGTCTTAATCGTTAGAAATCGTTTTTCAGCGCTAAGACCGAGGTACCGCCCGGTCGCTCTGCCCGCGGTGCTTCCCTACGTTGTCTGGGAGTTAGTTATCAAGCTTCCTCTGGCGTACCCCGTCGAAGTAGTGCTTCCAGATCGGGGCCATGCTCCCTCCGAGTTCTCTGACGATAATCTCGCGACCTCTCCCGGTCTCGTCCTCGTGTTTGATCGCGAATAAATTCGTGCCGTTCGTCGCCACCGTGTTGGTGGTCTCGTCGATTTCGTCGCCGTGCAGCCTCTTCATCAGCAACGTCTTTCCCGACTTGGCAGGCCCTAGGCAGAGGCACATGACGAATGCCCCCCTTTTCTTTTCTTTATCTTTTTTTTCTTCCCTTTCTCGAGTATCCTACGGCTCTTCGCGGCCAACTCGCGTACCGATCGCCACCAAAGACGCGTCCTCCTTTTATTTATTTCACCTTTCTTCTACCTTTTTATCCCTGGTTACGTTGTCTAATTGTTATTGCTCCACTGGCTCGTCGCCATGACTGACTCTCTGAATTCAAACACTTAGGCGTCTCCACGGCCACGGAAATCGATGGTACCTTCGGCTTGAAGTCCTTTATTTGTGGAAGATTCCTCGCTCTTAACCCTTTCGTTGCGCTGAAACGTGTTATCGCGTTATCGTATACAGCTACTTGTACAGAGTTACAGAAGTCCCGGTTTGTACAGTGGCGCGTAGAAAGTTCATGAAGGAAATTCATGGCTTTTCTTTTTTTTTTTAACAAATTCAATTGCGAAGTAAATTTCGAAAAAGTCTTTCTAGTTGGCTATGCTTTGTTTTTTCTTTTTTTTTTAACTATTACATATAAATTGTATAGAAATATTAAAGGATGGTCGAAAATGCGAGAATTCAACGTTTCGCGGATGATATTCACGGTTCTTTTCTTTTCTTTTTTTTTTTTGCAAAATACTGAATTTGAGAAAGATAGGTACCTAACTGGGTGGCTATCTTCCAATTGTTACGATTATTATGAGTTATATACCGTAGATTATTAAACTGCGCCTCGAGTTATGCACTTTTCCGAGCGAAAGGGATAAAAGCGTGAACGAACCAAAGTGGGAACTCGGAAAAAGGAGATTCGAAAACGTCGACAGGCGTTAAGCGAAAGAGTTAATGTGTCGAACAATGATGTGGGTATTCGTGCAAATGGTGTATCGGAAATCCTTTGTTACCTCCTCGATATGTCCAGTTCTCTCCAAAACGATCCAACATTATTCTCACATTCGGCAGAGATGACGGAAAGCGTTCCTAGATTCTCGTGTGACAAGGAGTGATATCCCGAGTCATCGCTCTCTCTCTCTCTTCCCTGATTGTATTTATAAAAAGCGCGTTGTTACTCGCCGATGCTTTCAACGGCACGAGTATATGACACTAGTTGCCCTGTGTTAAGAAAGGAAAGAGAAAAAGGAAAGGATTAAAAAAAAAGAAAAGACAGGAAAGGAAAGAAGAAAGAAAGAATATACATACATATTTTTTACAATTCGTTGGTGGTGCCGACGTTCTTGGGAGGGGGGGCGCCACAATACAAACAACTCGAGAGCGTACGAGTAAGAAGAAGATGTAATTGTCCCGTTAATACTATCGTCATATCCAAACGCGATCGCTACGCACATATCGGGCTTAGGTATGTGCACATCCATATATTTGTACTCTATATTACATAGTCACTTTTGCCTAGTCCGGGGGGTTCTGTACAGCGTCAATTCGTCGTTTAAGGCCTCAACGGAGCCAGGTCGGCCATTTTGAATTTTGGCGTCGGCGCCGAATCCCATTAAATTCCTTAAATCCTGGTTTACGCTCCCGGTATGGTTCCCACCTCGTAAATCAATCGTTCGTATCAAGGCCAGCGTTTGTCCTTCCCTCAACTTAACGTTAACTCTCTTCTTAACCCTAGTTATCAACTTCGAACTTATCTACAGATCTACGAAACGACGCACGCGCGTCATTAAAAAAAAAAATCTGCTCGCGCGAGCTTCGCTTGGGAATTGATTTGGCCCACGTTTTCGTAACTCTTAGCAGACTCGGATAACGGCTAAATTAAACGCCGCCGTCAAACCGTTCCGCCTAATTAATTAGAAGCTGCTTGAAAATTAAGCTAGGGTACCGATATTTGCGCACCGCGCACGGGCTTAAGAGACGCAGCCGCGTTGGATTGAATTAAACTAGAATATGAATTAGGAAAGGTATTAACGGCCCCGTGAAAATCAGGATGGGGGGATAGACAAGCGATTGGGCCCGGGAACGTAAACCAGGCTTCACTAGGTCCCCGGAATATCGGTTTGGGATTTTTTTCCCCGAGTTTCTACGCTGGGACGCCACAATCCAAGATGGCCGACCTGGTCTTACAAGAGCCTTGAACGCGTCCGTCCCGAACGGGATTTTGTTGGGGACGTGAATCTTGGATTTCTCAATGGTACGCAGGGTGTATGTCGCGAGTTTTTCACGAGCCCTCTTATTAATGATTTCGCGAATGCAAGGGCTCGACATTTTCCCTTATTCGCCCATTACCGAGAGCCTGCCGTTTATCATGGACTGACTTCTCGCGCATGATTAGCTCGCGATTCGCATTGACATCGCGTCTCCGTTACGTCGTGTCGCCCAAGAGCAATCGGATTTGATCGGGCATCGTCCACGAGTGAAGTCGGCGGTCCTTGCTTCCTGCGATGATCTGAAAAAAGCGATAATTAGAGGCTGGATAGATTGAAAGCCATTTCTCAAACAATTGAAAAGAGCATTCTAAGGGAGGCCAAACCTTTGTTCCGATGACTTCCATGCTCAGTAGCATGTTGCCCGGGCCGGGTATGCTGCAGGCTAGTCTTCTCTCCTTGAATATAAATGATAGAATTAGATTAAACTATGAGATTGATTGTTTACACGGGCTCCCCCGGTGTACCCAACTCGCAGCACACCGACATTATTAACCGTCGAGGGAGGAAAATTATATTCTTTCTCTCTCTCTTTTTTTTCCCCTTTTCTTTTTCAACGAATTCGAAGATCATTTCACTCCAATGGAGAGTACACGGCAGGGCTAATGAGAAAGTTTAGAGTATCGGGTTCGAGAAGGCTGAAAAAATCCCCGGAAGGGGACGCCTTCCGAAATTACAGTTCTTAATTAATAACAGTTATTACCTTCGTGTTGAACACGTAGATGTTGCCGTCGTAGCATCCGGCGAAGAGGAGCTTCTTGTAGAGCCTCATGCAGACGATGCCCACGCCGGCGTTGTATTGCATTATTTGATCGCCAGTCTGGGAGAGATAAAGGGCCGTGGAATAAAAGTATGTCGGCTAAGGACTTCGGTAAGTCCGGAATATTCCTACTTACGGTGAAGTCGAACACGGGAATCGACGTGCTGCTGGTCCCGCAGTACACCAAGCTGTGATCCCTCAGCAAACTGTACACCGTGTGGCTCCTTTCCCCACAAATGGTTCTTAGGAACAAGCCATTTTGTGCGTCCCTTATCGTGATGGCCTGGTTCCTAGAGGCGACGATGAGCACCCTTCTGGGACCCTCCGAGGTCGCCCTCAAGGCCAGGACGGACCTCTCGGAGAACTTGATCTTATCCCCCTTGAGCGTGCCAGACTGTGAAAGGGGAATAAATCAGGTCGGATTAGAAATCCCGGATATCTCTTAACGGGGGGTCAGACTAACAATGCAAGGATAAGGAAATTACTAATCGATCATTCTAAGGAGCAATTAGATCATTACAATTTCCCTGATAGTAAAGGGCAGAATAATGCGGGGAATGGCGTGTATATATACCTCCACGTGGAAGCGAGATACGTGGCCGGACTTCGTGCCTATGAAGATGATCTCCCACGAGTAGTCCATGCACTGGATCGGGCTCCCCAGGTCGGTCGGCTCTTGCGCCTCGAATCCGGTCTAAAAAGGACAATTCAGATGAAGACAAAGGTACACCGGGAGACATCAATGCCCTCCCGGCCTGCACAGGCGATGCCGTATCTCCAGGGGAGGCATTCATGTCCGCCATCGTACTTGCGGATACGCGATTATCTGCCAGTGGTTTTTAATCAAATAATTTAATTAAGAACCACCCTGAGTCCTGATTATTAAATCATGCTCACCGTGATGTCGTAGCATCGCAGGGTTCCGTCCAGGGATCCCGAGTACATCCTGTCCTTGGGAAGACTATTAGAGGAGGTCTTCAGGACGTGGAGACACGTCACCGCCGACTTGTGGCCTCTGTACACGTTCAGTATCCCATTAGAGGTCTGGCTGTACCGATATATCGTGCCGTCCTCGCTGGCAGCCAGAAAGGAGTCGTCAAACACCTAGAAATCAGATCTTTTAACGAGTGTTAACAAAACTAGCCGACCCGGGTGATAACCCGATAAAATGGCGCGTCGTCGCGCACGTGGGAGTGATAACAGGACACCTGGACGTCAAGGCGTCGAAGAGGTTTCATTTATGAAACTCTTATGCGAACAGGATATACCAAGTCGCTTCAAACTTAACTACGGGGATATAGAGGCTACGAGGAAGATCCTGACCCCTCGGTGGAATTTAAAAATTAGAAAATTTCTTTAGGGATGTTGATAAAAATTGAAATTTCACGGGTGTCGGCACTTTCCTTAGAGTCTCCGCTTTCGCGTTGTAAAGTTTGTACCGATCTCGTTACGCCTAGATCGGAAAAGTTTTCTTTTAAACTAGACCTCTTCGACGCCACTTTAGCGTCCCCTTGCTCTCGAGGGCGCGAAAAACCGCGGATCAGGTGAGAGGAAAGGCAATGACGAACAACCTCTGACAACTGGAAAACTCTTCGACTTTATTTTTTGAACACCGTGCGTCACTTCCCTTTACACACTTTAGACAAGCCCTGGGTAAGAGGTCCCGGAAAGTGAGGACACAGATAAAACAAAACGTAAAATAAAATGTATCAATCTGTACGGTTATACATATATGTATGTATGTATATATATATATATACACATTGTGTATATATGTATATATACGTATGTATATATGTATATATATGTATATATGTATATATATGTATATATGTATATATATGTATATATGTATATATACATATGTGTATATATATGTATATATATATAAATTCGCGTGCCTTAAGGGAGAGGAGACGAGGAATTAAAATGGCAGCGATGATTAAAGCCCTGGTAAAATTATAGGTCGATATTGAAATCTCGGGCCACAAAAGAGAGGAACGTTTCATTGAATCAGGGTAATATTTTGTCAATTTAAAGGATAATTATTTCACTCGGAATCGAATAAAAAGGATAAATCTGACCGGTTGAATGGCGATCTTGGGAGGTTGAACTGTGAATTTGCTAAAATTCGTTTTTCTAGCTCATGCCCTGTTCCTTCATTTCGGAAGATTTGGATGGTACGCAGCGATTCGAATTACCGCGAGGAATTTTATGAATTTCATTCTCAGTCTCTACCTTCGCAGTTAATGGTTACGCTTAACTTTTTAAGGTGGAATGAGTCGTAGTATTTTGAAAGCTCTGAGAGGATGGACGCAAAAAGTTTATACCGACGTAGAAATTTTGCGAGAGATCGCGTGGGCATTAAACGTTAATGGGATTACGTTAGTATTAAACGTAAAATTCGACCACGTGGGTACCAAACGTCAACGCGACCACGTGGGTACTAAACGTCAACGCGACCACGTGGGTACCGAACAGATCGATCTAACCTACGAAGTCATCGACCGAAACCTCAAAAAAAAAAAAAAAAAGGCAATGCAACCTTAACTAACTGCCAAGTAGAAAACATAATCAAAGATCCCAGGACGGTACATCCCGAGGAGTTCCGGATTACCGTCAACGTCGCGGCGTTATCGGGAATTTCGTGTGCGTGTCTTAAGGTTAGACCGAGTGAAGCGCCTTGGAAGCCTGGTAATGACCTCGCCTGGGGACTTTACCTTGATGTCCAAAATCGGGCCCTTGTGCACGGTGTAGCGCATCCTGGACGGTTCCTCCAGGTCGAGGTTAACAGGGCTGGCCTCGTCGCGGGAGGCTTCCCTGCGTTCAGGGCGCTCGGAGTAAGAAAGTCCACCCGAGCTAAGGTGGCCAAGAAGTTCGGCCTTGACGACGGGGACGAGAGGGCTCTTCGAGGTCGCCAAGGTGGGAACCCGGGCACCGGTCGGTTCTCGAGGACCCGGAGTCCCCGCGAGCTTGGAAACCAGGACATCGGGTCCTTCGGCGTTCCCAAAGACCGTCGACCCCGTACTCGTCGCGACGGTGGTCTTCGGGAAGACGGTGGATGCCACGCTCCTCGGGAACGATCCAGCCTCAAGGGCGCACAGGTTGATCCTGGAGATGCCCAGTCGTCGCAAGACGCTGGGGTGCACGTCCGACCTCAAATACGTGTATTTACTGTCGACGAGTCGCACCTTGCAGGTCTTCATCTCCTCCAGGGTGTGGCTCTTCCTCTTCCTGCCTCGTCTCCTGTCTCGCGGCTCGTTGCCGATAGGAGCCTCCTCTTTTTTCCTGTCCTCCAGGACGTTCGACCGTCTCCTGGTGCACCTGCGCTTGGAGCTGGACCCTACCGAGCTGTCGGTCTCCCCTCCGGGTGTGGGACTGTCCAGCAACCCGGAAAACCGAGTCCTGCTCTTCTCACGAGAGGTCTCGCTACTCCTGGTGCGTTTAGATTCCTCGGATGTCCTGGAGGACCTTCTGTCGGAGGCGACCCGGTTCGGCTTCCTGCCCCTTTTCCTGGGTCTACTTCCGAGGACCTCCTCTTCGGAGGAGAGGCGACTCTCTTCAAGGTCCGCCTCGTCTCTAGAGGAGTTGGCCTTCTCCGACTCCTTGCGGACCCTTTCCTCGGGAACCGTCCTCTTGACTGGATCTCCTACCCCATCTTTGACGACTAGACTGGTGGACTCTTCAAGATGTGCAGCCTTCTCCTCCTGTAACGGCTCTCCCGAGGATGCTTCCTCCGTTACGTCGTCCTCGCCCTCGACCTGGGAATTATCTCCAGGTAAATCGTCCCCAAGGTGGGAATTTTTACCCCGTAAATCGTCCCTTGCCGAATTCTCGACATTTAAATCCCCCTTTGCCGAAATTTCAACATTTAAATCGTTATGTGTTGAATTTTTAGGACTTAAATCGCCCGAGGCTGGTTTTTCATCCCGAGGAACGATTCTCTCCACAGGCGCCTCCCGGGTCACGTTCTCTTCAGGTTCCTGACCTCCCTCGTTGTCGACCGGCTTCGAGGAGTCGTCGGTCGCTTCGGATTGCGTCTCGAAATCCTCCGGTCTTTCGCCGTATGCCTCGAGGAGGCTCTCCAGGAGAGCTTTCTCATCCTCTTCGTCGATCTTCCTGTCCTCGGAGCCGCAAGCTTCCTCGCCTTCCTCGGGAACTTCCGGCTCCTTATCGCCATTCTCCACGAGAGATAACTTCTCTTCGACTAGGTTCGAGCCAATCGGCAACGAGGACCTCAGAGCGAGGATGGGCACATCGTCGTCGTCGATACCCTCGACGTCGACCTCTTCGTCCTCGTCTTCGGGTATTCGACACACTCTGGTTTGCTCTCTTTCAATGTCCTTGGCTTGGCCAACCTTGGGCATCTCGTTTTCGACCGGGGTGTCAGTTTCATCCACCTCTTCGGCATCTTCTTCGTGTTCTTCGGTTAACCTTGGAGTCGGTTCTAAGACCTGGTCGGGAGGAATGTCTTCGGGAGTGTTTTTCTGCGATAATGCAGGTTTATCAGCAACTGGGGATCCCGTTGGTTCCCTATCAGCAATTGAGAATTCCGTTGATTTCTTATCAGCTACTCTGTCGATGTTGTCTAGGTCGGGCTTGTTGAGTAGGCCTTCCTGGTGGACTGGTTCGACATTAATTACTGGATCTTCTGATTGTTCTTCAGCAAGGTTATCAGGGGGTTTCCCTTCGCAGGTCTCCACGAAGTCCTTGGCAGGTGGCGGCTTCTCGTCATCCTGTAACAGATAATCGTTATGGAAAAATTAAAACGATAAAATGAAAGGCACTATAAGGGTTAATTTTAGATAATAATAAAAATTAAGGAAAAGAGTAGCTCACCTCGGGTACAGACTCTTCAGGCTTCAGCGAAGAATCTGGGGAAATTGAGGAGACATCCGGGAGTCCCGTACTCTTAGGTAAGGCATCTTTTTCCTGAAGAGGGCCACCTGGTTCATCGTTGTACAGGTCCGCAACCCTATCCTTGGCAACGGCGTCGATGACCTCGTCAATGTGTTTCTCGACTACCGGGTCGAGCAGAGGCAGCGTCCACGGTTTCTTCTTGAGGAGGTTTTTCTTCTGCTGGAGCTTCTTCAAGTAAAGCGTCTTCAAGGGCATCTCCTCCTCTTCGGGCGAAAGCGCGTACACGTGGCCGACGATGTCCTTCAGCTCCATCCTCCTCTTCCTCTTGGCTTCGGCTTTTTGCTTCCTAAATTCGGCCATCTCGCGGTTGTAGGACTCCTCGAGAAGAGCGAGACCGGTGGTAGGCCTCTTCTCGACTCCAAGGCCGTCGAAGGACTCCAAGGTACTATCGTCCGAGTAGATAGGACTGTGATAAGTCGTCCTGGACTCGAGCCTCAGGTTCTTTACGGGACTTTCCGGGACCAGGATCGTGGACTCGTCTTCGGGTACCTTAAAGGACTTCAATGCCTGACCCTTCCCTTTCTCTACCTCCGTTTGTAGGCTACGATTCAAGGGAAGGACCTTCTTCTCCAATTCCACGGACTTGTCCTTGGCCTTCTTCGGCTCTTCCCCAGGACTGACCTTATCCCTTGACTTTGACCCATCTCTTGACATCTCCGAAAGACTGCTGGTCTCTGTAGAATCCGAGACGTTCTTCTCGTCCCGACTTGGTGGCCTAGGGGGCTTACCTTCGCTGGGCACGTTGGTCCTCTTCGGGGTCTTATCTCGAGGCTTGGTCGCGTCTTCTCGACTCGGGGTACCATCCCCAACCTGGTCCTTCTCCTCTCGTTCCTTGCGAGGTTTATGCCTGGGAGTATGCGTCTTACCTTCGGAACCATCCCTCTTCAGGGTGTGACCGCTGGATCTATGCTCCTCCTCTACGTGCACGTGCTTCTCCTTCTTCGGGAAGTCGAACTGTACCTTTTCCTTGTGACCAACGTCGGCGTGGACCTTCTCCTTGTGGTCAACGTCAAAAGGAACCTTTTCCTTGTGACCAACATCGAGTTGGACCTTCTCCTTGTGACCGACGTCCTTTTCCTTCTCCTTATGACCCCCATCGACCAGAACCTTATCTCTATGCCCGACCTCGAACTGGACCACCTTCTCCTTCCAGGGTGCCCCCTCGTTGAGGCTCTTCAGCAACGGCACGTGACCTTCATCGGTATCCGTCTGCCAGTCGGCAAGCAGGGTCTTTTGAATAGTCTCCGCCTTGGCCTCTTTCTCCCTCTCCTTTTTACTCGCCTTCTCGTGTCGGTCCCTCTTCTTCTTCCTCGGCGAGGGTGGTCTCCGGTTCTTCGAGATCCTGGATATCTCTTCATCCCCCGAGCTCAAGGAAAGAGACTCCTCGCTAGGCCTCGAGGGCAAGCTCTTCAGAGACGACCCGACCTTCTCCCTCTCGATCGGCTTCGAGGCTTCCGCACCCTCCTTGGAACTCTGGATCTCGTTCTCCAGGTTCGGCATGAACTTCATCAGCATCGAGGGGGTCTTTGACCTGTTCGAGGTGGGCGTCTTGGACCTGAAAGGTGTAGGAGTTTTAGACCTCAAAGGAACCGTCGTTTTCGGCCTGAAGGGCATCGGCGTTTTAGACCTGAAGAGGGGAACGCTCTCTTCGGGGACCTTCTCGTGGACCACGGGGGCAGGGTCCTCCTCTTCCAGGTCGTCGGTCAGGGCCCCAGTTTCCAGCATCTGGTATAGCTCTATCTTCTCGGACATCAGCTTGTGGATCTCCACGTCGATCTCCATCATCCTTTCCATGACGGCCTTCTTCGTGGTCGGTTTGCTGACCACCGTCACGACCTCTTGCTCCTTCAGGGCCTCCTTGACCAGCTTTTCGTGCACGTGGTGCCTCTTGCTGTCCTTATGCTTCATCTTGTGCTTGTGTCTTACCCTGTGCAAGCTGCTTTTCTTCTCCTGGGGGTCCGTGGGTCCCTCGACCGACCCTGAAGACGTCTTTATACAGGGCATGATGTTTCTTGAGACGGTGTAGGAGCCTCTCTCTTCCATCGTCTTCGCCAGGGTGTCCAATTCTCGAATCTTCTCCAGCTCCACGATGGGATACTGGCGAACACCAGGTCGACTCTTCGGCTTCTTCGTCCCAGGGTCGGTTGTTCTTGCAGGGTCTTCTGATGATTTCTGAAGACCTTTGGAATCGACTTTACCGCTAACATCTTTAACATCTTCAACGATGTCGCGAATGGCGGAATTTCCCTTCTCCGGGGTAATCGGCTCTGCGAGGTCGTCTTCGGGTACCTTTGAAGGGACGTTGACGTCTCCCGCCACCTCTTCAGGGTTTGCATCCAAATTTAAGGGACCTTCCGAAACAGATTTGGAGTCTCTCAAGACTCCCTGGGAATTGGATTCCGCGATGGTTCCCTTCGGCGCTCGTTTTGGGGAATTTTGTTCCTCTTCAGGGTGGGAATAGCAGTTTAGGGTTCCCGAGGAAATCCGTGAAAAGGGTGGCGGCGATTCCTTCAGGGCAGCCTTCGTGGGAACCTGCAGGGTCCCTTTGGAGACCTCTGAAGAATGTTTCTGATGGTCTATCATCGGGTTATCACTGGAACTTGAAGAGCCTATTGTGTGGCTATTTGTTTCCTCAGCAAATCCCTTGGGACTCGAGACCTTATCCGGGATTTGCAGTCCTTCTTGACTCTCCTCTTGTTTCTCGCCCTCCTTGGAATTGAGCTCCATCATTTTATCCTGATTTTTCTTCCTCTCTTTTGTCACTTCCGAGATCAATGCCGAGGTCATCATCTTCGTTGGCGTGATGATGCTGATTATCGAGGGCATTGTCTTGTTACTTCTGCTCTCCTTTTCATCGGAGTCACTCCTCAGGGCAGAAGTCTGCAGCAAAGAGTCTCGATTAATTTCCAACTGAATATTTTCCAACCTTGGAGACCTTGTTTTACTCTCAACTGATGCTGAAGAGTCTGCCGCGGTCTTAATCGGTACGATATCGTTACTTTCCTCCTTTTCAGGGTCAAGCGTATCTGGCGTCACTTCTATGACCTCAGGAATTATTTGAGGATGGTCCTTCAGTTCTTCAGGTTCTTCCGCTAGCGATGTTGAGAGATCTTGACTAGAAGACTGACATTTTTCGATGTCTTCAGGCTCCGATTGATCTCCCAAGGACTTCTGTGATTTCGTCCTTTCTAGACCCACCTGAGTAGCTGATACGGCTTCGGCCAAACTTTCAATCGGTGGGACGACCTTCTCTTCGGCTTCAGACGTCTCTTCAGCTTCTGTTCCGGAAGGTCGACGCGTCCTTTCTGGAGTTCCTTTCTTACGCTCTAATATCACATATGTTCCTGAAGGAATACCTTTCACAGCCTCTGGCAGATGGACAGACGGTGCATCAGCGATTTTTTCTACACCTGCATCTGGGATTTTCTCTGCAGCTTCACCAGCAATTTTCTCTGCAGCTTCACCAGCAATCTTCTCTGCAGCTTCACCAGCAAATTTCTCCGCAGCTCCACCAGCAATTTTCTCTGCAGCTGCATCAGATTCCTGCAAAATATCGGCCTCGTCTCTCCCCAGATCCGAGTTGAGGGAAATCGAAACCCTTCCTGCAGGTGCATCTGAAAGAATTTCATCAGAGGACATTTCTATCAGCATCCCAGAAGATTCCGATACACCAACCACGTCTGTCGCAAGTTTCCCTTGACCTTCCTCGCTATATATAATTTCTTCCACGTCCTCGTCAGGACCCATCGGTATCGCTTCGGTCATACCTCCAGGTCCTGCAGGGTGGACGATAACATTTGCAGGTGCATCTGCCATGGAAGGTGGACCATGTGCAGAATTAAGTTGATCCGATAGATCGCCTGGGATTTCTTCTTCTGGTTTCACCTGGTACCGAGCATCGGAATTTATTACGGTTCCCTCGCATCCTATTTCCGCTTCGGCATCGGAGTCCTCGTCGCAGGACACCTCGGAGAGGACGATGAAGTCCCCGTTTTCAAAGTCCACCATCGGCGAGTCTACCGAACTCGTTCCTCTATCCAGGGGAGATTCTACCCTCGAGTTCCAATTCAGTTTGTCCTTCTCATCGCTGACCTTTTCGGACTTCCGCGGAGAGTCCATCTGAAACATCTCCTCCATTTCCGCCGAGTCTTCAAGGTCTACTCGAAGAACGTCCTGCTCGTCCTGGGCGTCGTCATCGAGAGGGGCAGCCTCGTCCTTATTTTCACCCTCTTTCGCCCCAAGGTCTCTTTCTTCCTCGAGAACTTCCACCGCTCGGTTTTCTCTCAACTCCTTCAGGTTCTCCTTAAAGTTCTCTCCGCCATTCGCGACTTCCTCGACCTCCTCTTCCTCCTCGTCCATTTCTTCGACGTTCTCTTTCGCAGTCTCGTCGTTCTCCTCGTTCTCCTCCGGGTGTCCCTTCTCGTCGGAGTCGTCCTTGTTGCCGTTACCTTGCCGCCGTCCTTCGGCATCTTCATCTCGTTCTTCGGCATCTCTCTTCTCCTCCCCTTGGTCCCTGCCATTGTTTCTTTCCCCGTCTTCCGGAACTTCTTCTCTCTCCTTACTGTCTCGACCTTCCGCGGCATTGTCTGTATTTTCTTCACCTTCTCTCTCTTCTTTGGTACCTTCTTTGTCGACGTTCTCCGTCTCTTTCCGCGGGGACTGGATTTCAACGACCTGGTGCGAGTGACTGGGATCGGAGTTCTGGATGTCCTCGTCCTTGAGCGGCTCCACGTAGACCTCTTCCACTAAGCCTTGAAGACCCACCTCCAATTCCCTCTGCAAGTCTAGGTGAATCTCTTCGGCAACTAGACCATCGACGATCACGTTCGATTGAGCTCCACCTTCTTCTATACCAAATACCTGATCCTCCAAGGCGACAGGATCTTCCTCCAGCACTTCACATCCTGGCACCTTCAGGGTATCTTCATCTTCGACGCCCAACTCGTCGTTCTCGACATCAACGTCCAGTTTATTTTCGCCCTCGAGAAATAAATCCCTGGTAAAGAGATCCCCAGGAGTCTCGCGTTGTTCCTTCTTACCTGGTTCTTCAAGGTTATTGCTTTCCACACCTTCCATGACCTCGGCCTGATTTTTCATGCCGTCACTAATTAAAACGTCGTCCTGAACCCCCACCTTCTCGTTCTGCCTAGAGTCAGCCTCTTCTTCAAGGTTTACGGTCTCTGATCGTTCATTTTCCTCGAAGATGGCTGCTTGAGATTTTTCTTCTTGTGCACCATCTAAAGGATATATATGTGCATTAATTTTTGGTCCTTCGTCTTCGACGGCGTCGCCCTCGTCCTTGGCCAGGAGGTCCGAAGGAACCCTTTTCAGTTGCACGACCGGCTGAGGATGCTTCCCTAAAAAGTCGCCGATCAATTCCTCAGGGACGACGTAAGGTGTGCCGATTTCGGCATCGGCTTCGAGCTCCGGGTTCGCCCCGTCAGGGTTGAACATTTGTTCAAGGTCCTCTTCAGGGTATTCCGGGACGTAGTTGGTATCGGCCAGGTCTAGATTCTCCACGATGTCCTTGCTCTCTGGCTCCACGATGCCGCCCATCATCTCTTCTATGTCCACGACGACGAGACCCTGAGCAAGATTCACGTTCTTCACCACCCCCTCGTCCTGAACAATGTCCAGGCCCTGCTCGATACCCATACCCTGGTCAGTTTCCCCGGGAATGATCATCCTGTTCCTCGATTCAACGCCTTCTAGGATCTCCTCGGGAACGACTTCAGGAACTGCGTCGTTCTTCGCTTCTTCGATGCCATCCCCATCGTCTACAGGGAGAACCGAGCAATCCGCAGAGTCTTCGACAACGCCCCTACACCCTGAAGGCGTGACATTTTCAAATTCACTTCCGGAATTCATGATATCAGCAACGTCTTCAGGGAGAACCGTTCCTGGGGAATGTGTAGGGCCTTCGACGATGCTTCCAGACCCTGAAGACGTGACGTTTCCGAATTCAATCCCAGAGTTTACGGTACCAGGAACGTCTACAGGGAGATCCATGCTTGAACAATGCGCAGACTCTTCGGCAACGCTCCTACACCCTGAAGACGTGATATTTTCAAGCTCAATTCCGGAATGTATGGTCTCGTTACCGACTAGCACGCGTTCAGCTTCTTTATCGGTAGCATCTTCATCGGTGGGAGGCAGGTTGCTTTCTTCAGCATCCTGGATCATCGAAGCTTTGCTGGATTTGTTGATGAGCTCGTCGAAGATCTCCTCGATCAGAGGCGACTTGGTGAGCGCAGCTTCCAGGGCCTCGTTCTCTCTCCGGAAAATCTCCGCCCGAGAGGGTCGCTCTTCAGGGACATTTTCTTCAGGTACAATTTCTGGCAGACCATTGCTAGGTATCGTTACCTCAGTACCAGGACTATTTGGAGAAGGATTCGCGCCCATTTCAATCCTTATGTTCTGCAGTTTGACCGAAGACTCCACATCTTCGAGGCCGCTTCCAAGATCCGTCTGGACGACGTTGATGCCCTCCAAAGACCCCTCCACGTTCCTGATGAGCTCGTCGAATATTTCATCCACGTTACACGTTGTCCTTCCAGATAATGCCGACTTCTTGTCACCGGTTTCAGCAATGGCGTCCTCTTTCTTCAACTTTTCCTTCAGGTCTCCCGGACCCGGAGTGGTCTTCAGGGTAACATCCGGTTCCGTGGAGCCCTTCAAACTTATAATGCTCGAAAAATCCCTGTTCGTGGTATCGGTGCCAAAAGAGAGGTCCTTAGTCTTGATTCGAGGTGGATCGGGAGTGACCTCTTCAGGGTTTAATGCCGTTGGTTCCACTTCAGGTTTCAACGAGAGAGGATCATTTCTCTTAGAAATCCTCGCAGGTTCGTTGGGTCGAGTTTCTTTGTCCGATTCTAGGATTTCTGGTTTGCTTTTCGATTTGATCCTCTTCATCTTCTTCAGGGTCCGCTCATTCGGGTCCTGATCGTCAGTTTTCGATCTCTTCCTCTTCTCGGCCTTCTCCTTGGACCTCTTCTTCTTCGGCTTCTTGAGCTTCCCCTCTTGAGGCAGATTATTGGCAGGGTCTGTGAGAAATTCCTGGATAGGATGGTTCGGGTCTTTGGTGGTTGCTGAAGAGCTGTGGAGAGCATCAGCAATTTTTACAGGAATTTTAGCTTCGTTTCCTTCCTTGGTTTGGCCACTCGTTGAAGAGGCTCCTTTTATTGCACTACAATTGCTTGCGAGTACAGGTAGGTCTTGTTTCTGCAGATTGCTGTTACTCTTCGAGGTCACTGCAGTCCCACCTGAATTGCCTGAAACAATTAATACCGCACCCATATATTATAATATATAATATAAAAAGAAAATGGCCATGTTCCATTAAAATAAAAAAATAAAAACACTGAAATATATAGCACGAAGAGTTGCCTAATATTCTTACCTTCGGCAAGGACCATTTTATTCACTCGAATGGCATCCAACCTCACGACAGGATTGCTGGTCGCAGCAGCAATAATGGCAGCCTTCGTGGCAGGATTAACAGCCTTCTCAACGGCGACATTTACAACCTTCGCGACTAAATCCGTGTTTCCAAGTACACCGGCTGCTTTTCCAGGAGCACCGTCAACCTTACTCGAAGCAGGATCCACATCATCACTTTTCTTCGTCTCAAGGACCTTTTTCATTGGGCCGTCATCACAAGTCGACGTACCCAAGTTTACAGCTCCCGTCGCCAGGATAGCAGTAGTTTGTGCAGCTGCAGTTGCATCTACACCAGGAACCGTTCCGGCTGCAGTTGCAACAGCAACACCAGCAACCGTTGAAGTTTTCGATGCTCCAGCTGAATCCGTCCTGACTGCAGTTGCAGCAGCAGCAACGGTGGAAGACTTCAACGCCCTAGGAGGAATAATCTTGGTTGCAACAGTACCAACGCCTGCAACGGTGGACGCTTTCACCACTCCACCAGGAACCGATTTCTCCGCAGCTGCACCAGCCCCAGCAACGGTTGAAGTTTTCGACGGGCCATCAGGAAGCAATCTTGCTGCAGAAATATCGACCGATAAGGGGGACGGTCCAGGATCAAGGACTCTGTGACGACGGAGACGAACCGCACGAGTGGTGTTCGGATTCCCAGGTTTCCTGGGGTCCTGGACATTCGCATTGGCAACGGTTTGTGCCCGAGGAACTGCAGGTGCAGGAGTTTGTCCAATTTCGGTGTACGTTGGCGCAGCTGAGCGTAACCTTGGATCCGCTAATGGAGCTACCGGTGGCTTTTCAGCTTCTGTCTGTGGTGCCATACTGGGGAGGACCTTCTTCTTCTTCTTCTTCTTCTTTTTGATGAGACCGGCACCTTCTACGAGGGTTCTATCCCCCGCAGAGGTGACGATCGCCTCCTGAGGAAGGTCCACCTTCGCCGGTTGCACCTTCTGGACGGCGCTGACCTTGTCTTCATGGGCAGCCTCGACGAGCGTCTCCTCGTTCCGCTTCTTCGTTAGTATCGGGATGTTCAGGAGGTCCTGGGTCAGCAGGTTCGGGTTCTCCTCGATGATCTTCAGCTTCTCCTGTTCCTTTATCTGCAACTGCATCTTCCGGGCCTTGTAAGTGTGGATATCGAGTTTCTTCGACTTACCGGGGTTCGAGGTCGCCTCTGAACTCCTGGTCGTTGGGACCGCTTCAGGGTTCTTGATCGGCGGAACGGCAGTCTTCGCTGAAGACGATACTTCAAGGCTCCTCGGTGAAGGCGCTACTTCAAGGTTCCTCGTTGATGCAGCCACATCAGGGTGTTTCGTCACGGGTTGTTTAACGTCGATAACCTTGCTCGCAGCGGGAACCGCAATCCCGGCAAAGGCTGGAGAACCCTTAAAGGTCGTTACCCCGGTGACGACGACACTGGAGGAGCTCACCTCGGATACCTTGGAACTAGGTGCTGGGTTCAGCCTGTCGATGCTGTCCATCGAGCTGCTCCCATTGCTGGCCGATTGCTGAAGAAGGGACGCTTTCGCGGGCACCCTGGCGACCTGCTTGACCTGGGTCTTCGGGGTCTCTGCCGCAACCTGATCGCTTCCAGCGTTCTCCGGCATCTGCTTCAGCTGCGCCTTGGTCTTCGGCTGGTTCGCCAGGGTGCTGGTGACCCACTGATCGGTCAGGGCGATCTTGGAGAGAGAGCTCGACCCGACGTCCTTGGCAACGAGTTTCTGCCACTTGTCAGGACCCATCGCGTTGCTTCCGGAACTTATCGGCAGTTGTTTGGTCCCCGACCCGGTACCGCTTCCGTTGCTGGTCGCGATGCTCTCGGCCGACATCTTCACCTGCCTCTCCTCTTCCGGTTCCTTCTTGATCTCCACCTCCTTCTTAATCTCGTCCTCCGTGAGGAGCCTGAAGGGCTCGTCGTTCCCGGACTCGTCGGAGTGCCTGGAGGCCCACCTCCGCTTCCTCTTCCGGTCCTTCTTCCGCTTCTCCTTCTTGTCGCGTTTCCTCCTCTCCCTCTTCCGCGCCCTCCGCTCCTTCTGCTTCTCTTTCTCCCGCCACTTGCGCTCTATCTCCGCGGTGACCTCGTCCCGGATGGTCTCGTTGAGGCTCCTCTTCTTGGCGATCTTCTCCCGCTCCTTGATGACCTTGAGAAGCTTCGTCACGTCGTGGGCGGTCTCGCTTCCGCTGTCGCTGGACGAGGTCGTGCTCGACTCGGTTTCGCTGAAGGACCTCTCAGCGTTTACCTCCTCGATCTCCCTGTACCGCTCGGAGAGTCTCTCCGAGTCGTGGTCCAGGTTCTCCATCGACATCTGCACCGGGGAGGCCGCACTGCGTCTCATCAAGGGCGACTCCGAGATGGAAGACTTCCTGGCGAGGGTTCCCCTAGGCTCTCCGACGCCCTGGCCGGTCTGCAAAAGCCAAAGCTCTCGGTCCAGGGAGCTTTCCATGGATCTACCGTGCTTGGCTTCCCACTCCTCCTTTGTCAGGTTCCTGAACATGTCCAGGTCCTCCCTCTCCTTGCGGCGCCACCTCTCCTCCCTCTCCAGCCTCCCTTCCCTGATATCTCCAGGAGATGAGGATCCGAGGTCGAACCTCCTCTCTTCTTCAAGGCCGTCCTCCAGGTTCTTCGCTAGACCGTACTTGGCCTTAGCTATCCCCGCGCTGAAGATGTCGTCCAGGTCGACGACATTCTCCACAGGCTGGACCAAGGGCTTGGAGATTTGCGCCTTGAATCTAGCCTCCAGGCTCGCCTCGTCCCCGTCGGCTCTCCTCAGTTCCTGGCCTGCCTTGGAGCCGGACTTTGCCTTGGCGATCCCGGCGGAGAAGATGTCGTCCAGGTCCGCGATGTTCGGTAGTTCCGGGTGGTTCCTGGCCTGCATCTCCAAGAGTCTCTCCACCTCGGGTAGTCTTCGCATCTCGACGTGCCTTTGGATCTCCTCCGTCGCCCGCCATGACTCGAACCCATCCTTGCTCTCGGATGCGTCCTGAGGAGCAGGGACGTTGTACCCATCGACAGTGTCGCCAGGATGCTCGGCCAGGTTCGACCTGCGTCTCTGGGGCCTGGTGACGACCTCGACCGGGTTCTCGCCGAGGTTTTCCGGGTTCCTACGGCGTTGCGTTCGCTCAGGGTGATGGACAGTCCCCTGGTGAAGCTGGGGCTGGAGAACCCGAAGAGGAGGCGGTGAATCCGGCGGAGGAGGCGGGGGCGACCTCTCTCGTTTGCGCTCCTTCACCGGGAAGTGCGTCGCCGGGTTCTCCATCTGGAGGATGTGGGTACCCTGCTCGAGGAGGTTCATGCCCACGGTCGCGGATTCTCCGGCATGCTTCGACGCCCTCGCCAGGTCGAGGTCCTCACAGTCGGTCGCATCCAGCTGCAGAACCTCGGAGAGGTGGTGGATGAACTCCGTGGGGAGGTTCGTGATATCAACGGTGGCGCTGGGGTCGAGCATTGCGTTCAACTGGGACATGAACTCCTCCCGGTCGTAGTGCCTGATCTTCTCTTCCTCGGAGTTCCGCATCTCCCAGGACAGCGAGGGCCTCTTCTCCTTGACGAGGTGCTTCATGGCTATGTCGAACTTCCTAAGGCTTGAATTATTAACCATATTCCGAATGTCGTTTTTGCTCATCTTCAGGAACCGGTTGATGACCCTGGTCTTCCAGGAAGTTTCCGACACAGAGGTCTCGACCCTCCTGGAGGAGGTATGAGCCTTCGGGGGCGAGGATGACCTGGTGGTCCTGTCCTTAGCGTGGGACTCGTAGGACTCAGAGCCGTGGTACCGGTAGCTCCTCTCGTTCTCCTTCTCCTTGTCCCGCCCGGACTTCTTCTTCTTCTTGTCGTTGAACTCGGTGCTCTGGGGAGCCTCTGCCTCGAGCTGGTTGAAGGCGAGTTCCTTGCCAGTCCGGGCTCCGGACTGGATCAGCGGTTTCAGCTTCTTCAGCTTCGTAGAGACCTCTTCTACCTGGTATTGCCACTCGTCCTGTTTGGCGATCACCTTCGTCTTCGAGTTCAAGTTGAAGACGACCTTAGGCCGAGACTGCTCCTCGACCAGAGGTGCGTCTTCCTCGACGACGGGGTTGTGGGTGGGCTCTTCCGGCACTGCCCTGGATACCGCCTCCTTGGGTAAGACCGTGACCACGGGCATGGGCTGGGGTCCGTACTTCACGTCGTGCTTCGTCTTCTTCGACTTGTGTTCCTTCAACTTGGGTACCTTACCCTGACCATCGGCGACCGTGGCCACTGGCGGGAGATTCGGAAACGTCGGCATGTGGAACTGCACGGAGCTGGTGTTTTCTTTCCCCGACATGTTCATCAACTGCTTGGCGAACTCCATAGCTTCCTGCATCTCTTCAAGGTCGTCCTCCATGCCGAGTCCTGGACCTGTACCCGAAGGAGGTTCCTTTGGCAGCGGAGGTGGTATAAGGCTCACCGCAGGACTACATACCGTAGACTGGGGTAAAGGGTGCACGTTTACCGGCTTGATGGTCACATCCGGTACAGGGAACTTGTGTGGCAGAGCCGCAGGAGGCATCACTGGAGCAAAGGGCATCGGTACAGTTGGAACGAAGGACTGTGGCCCTGGCATGCCCATGGGTGGGATCTGCGGTGCCATGGGTGGATAACTGGAGGTCAAGGTGAAGTCACCCATCGGAGGAGGTTCCATCATCCCCATAGTCATCACTCCACCCGCTGAGTGCACATTATTGCCTGGCAGCAAGCTGGAGCGATCCTGCGAAGAGAGTCTTGGATCGAAGGCAGGTGGAGGCTGCAGAATCTCCTCCTTCGGAGGAAGTTTCGGTGGTGGTTGGTGAGGATTGAAGCCTGGCAGGTTGACCAGTTCCTCTTTGCTTGACTTACTGACCGCAACACCCGGTGGTAGGACACTGGCCGTAGGTGGAGCCATGCCAGGTGGAGGCACGTTAGTCGATATGCTCATGGGTGGAGGTCCTCTGGGCACGAAGGCAGGTGGACCGTGGACACTGGTCAGTTTACTCGCAGGTTTACATCCCTTCGATAAGTTCTCGGAGGTGGTTTTGTCGGATTGAGATTGAGAGTCATCCGACGTGGGTTTTCCAGGTAAAACCATGTTCGGAGGAGGACCCCTGGGATTGAAGTCAGGGGGCATTTTGTTCTGCTGGAACGGCATCGGAGGACACATCTGGCTCTGGTTAGGATATCCGTGGGTGCCAGATTGACTAGTCATAGGAAATGGTCGGAGATTCGCATTCGGTGGTGGACCTCTGAAGACTGGACCTGAATCATGAGGGAATGGCTGAGTAAATCTGGGCCTCGGATCTCTGGGTCCGAACCGAGGCCCTGTGTTCCTAGGTCGGAAGTTTGGTCTATTATGAAACGGAGGTGACAGTTCGGTATTGAACGTCACATTATTGAAAGACTCTGTTGGCTTACTTTCGTATTGGCTACCTGAACTCGATCTGCCGTCTCGATCACCGATTACAACCTGAATGGGGTTACCTTGTGGCGCTTCCTGTGAACTCGGTGGTAATGCTTTACTCACAGGAGTTTGCATGGAACTTTTCTCTTGATTTTTCTTGGCTTCGACAGTTTCGGGGCAGGTACCAGAGTTATTCAACTTGGTTACCGCTACTTCCACTCCTGGTGGGCCTTCCAGGGATTGTCTAGTAGCCTCGCTTACAGGTACCGTCACTGTCGTTGTCGGAGATGAGTTAACTGGCTCTTTCACTGAACTTTCACCCAAATCACTATCAGACATAACCTCCGAAACTATCAAATTAGCACTGACTTTCACTGCGTTAGAGGATTCAGAGTTGCCTTGTTGTTCCTCGAATACCTGGGCCTCGCATGTGCTTTCAACTGTTTGGTCTTGACAGGTGCTTTCGACTGTTTGATCCTGACAGGTGCTTTCGACTGTTTGGTCTTGACACGTACTACCACCCACTTGTTCATAAAAAGTAATATCGTTTATTTGATCCTGGCAAGTACTTTCCACAGTTTGATCCTGGCAAGTTTTTTCTTCTGAATTCTCGCATCGGCTCTTGCTAGAATCTACAATTGGCCCTCCATGCATTCCCACTCCATCCAGAGTAACTCTACCGATATCCTTGAGATCATTAAACGTTAAATCGAGCTCTGGAGGTTCGTGTCGCAATTCAGGGATTCCTTTATCGGCAATCGCTGTGTCATCACTGGTAGAAGCAGGTAAAGGGTCCGTCGATTCTTCTAAGTCCCACAATTCCATCACTTCCTCTTTGGTAATTGAAGAAAGTTTCTGCTTAATCATGTCTGCAGTTTCTGTGATTTTCAGCTGACGCTCTTCTTCTGAGCCGAGCAATGGAGGGCCTTGAGGTTCCGTCCGTTGAGGTTCGAACGGACCGTCGTACCTCCACTGTGGTCCTCCGAATCTGAAGCCACCTCTCCCGGGAGGACCCGGAGGACCTGGAGGACCTGGGGGAGCGGAAAGTCCTGGTACACCTGGTGGCCCTGGAAAGCGGTGCATGCTTGGGCCACGTCCTCGGCCTGGCATGCCCCTCGGCATTCCTTGGCCTCTCTTGCCAACAGGAAATGGTCCATTGAACCGAAACGGAGGTCTCTGATTCCGAAACGGAGGAGGTCCATTGCCTCGCCATGCTGGAAATGGGAGCCGAGCAGGGCGCTCGGACCAATTGTCGTTTCTACCCAGCTGCCCGTAATTCGGGTTTGGAAACCGGGGCCCACCAGCTGGTCCACTAGGACGTACACCCCGTGGTCCGAAGCCCCTCCCTCGGAAACCACCGCCACTCATTACACGGTATAACAACACCCAACTCCCTTAAGTTCCTTGCTTGTCCAGGCAGGGAGTTTGCTCTCTAACCTCACAAATACTCGAGGAGAGTCCTTAGACCCTAAGTACGCGTTTAACTTACATACTTCCACGCTCATTTGACAGAACTACGAGTTAACTTCACGTAAAAATCCCTGCCGACAACGGGCGCTCCGAAAATAATTGACATCGCGTTGCCGCAGGCTTACAACCGATTCTTGGCGTTACCTTGTAACGTCTATTAACGCCGCTTTACAGTCTTTAAACAAACTACGTCGTATCGGGACGTTTCGCGCGTACAAGGTACGAGGTTGCACTTAACCTTTCTTGACGAGCGAATTCGAGTTTCAACGTTCCTTAATTCTTAGACGGTATCACTGCGCCTCTTCGGCGAAATGTCTTCAAATGTCACGGCTATCGCGAGATTCACCAAACTCACGTCGAGCCGACGAGCGCTCGATTACAGCGCAAAATTTGAGAACGAAACGGTCCCCGGACTGCCCTTCCGGATCTGTTGATTCGGCATGATCGCCATGTTGCTCCGTAACTTTGTTCCTTTATTGAGCCCTCGGCAACGTGATGTCCATCCGTTTGCCCGCGCCGACCTTTCGAGGTGTCTCTTACGTTGAGGATTTCCGATCTGGGGATTCAAAAACCGCTATTGTGGGCAGCAACCTCCTCGGTCGACTTCGAGTAGTTGCGAGTCGCGGACACTCGCCACACGTAAAGGGCTCGTGCTAATGCGCGCTAACCTACTGCGCTGGCACGCGGTCGCACTCAGCCACGCTCTACAATCGCGGGGATGTAACCACACACGCGACACGTGTACTCATACTTGGAGAGCCCATAAACGAACGCGATTAACTCGTTGACATCTGCAACTGTGTTGTCGAGTACAGATTTGCCGCCATTTTGACGTCCGGCCCGCGCCAGCCAATCACGACGCGCGGTCCCTGCGCAGCCGAGTCCGCGCACGTCGCTGATTGGCTCGCCGCAACGCGGACGAATACTCGACGAAAGCGAGATTGGTCGAATCTCGCAACCGCGAGTCGAGAATCTTATTTTGCGCGAATTCGACTGCAATTCGTAAATAAAGATGCGCTCTAAGGGAATTCTCCAATTACGGGCTCTTGGGAGGTTATGTTAGGTCCTGGTTCACGTTTATTTGCTGTTAGGTCACAGACAGTAGTCATGGTTTCCTAGCTTCAAACTCGCATGAATAAACGATACCAAAGAAGGCGTTCCATTAATAAAACTGAATTAAAGCCGCGCTAAAGCTTAAACCCTTGATAGAACTCTCTTAGCGTAAAACGTTTTCAAAACGCCTCGATTTCCATCCAACCATCGATGAATGCCAGTGTATGTCGTTACTTTCACCGTTTTTTTGCCCTCAAGGGCGGCGCAACGAATTTCTGGTAGGGACTCGCGCACTCGGGATGGCGGTGCCATCTACCAGTCGCAGTTGGCGGCTCACGTACACGCGATGGTAATACGATGCGGCTGTGACGGCATGGTATGGCGATGGTAATAACGTGCGCGTGCGGGATGGAAGTTGGGAAGCGGCACCTACTACGCTAGTCAGTGGAACAACTAATTTCCTAATTTCCAACTATTTCCCGAGTTTCCGACATTCCCTTACCCTCCTAATAATCGTATCGTGAATTTAGACGAAGTTTTATCTCATCTTTAGGCCCTTTTTTTTGTGAAAAGTATATTTTCAATGTTGATTTAGACCGTCGCTTGACTTCAGGGTGTCAGAAAGTGTGCGTCTTTGTCACACGTCGAGCGTGCGTCACGGAGACTGCGAGGAACGAGAGCCGGTGTCAACGCTGTCATTCGAGAGGATAACCTGTAGTTGGCAGGGATTAACCGTGACATTGGTGAGTGTAAATCGAGCCTGTCAATGCAGGCAAGTCGATAGAGTCTCGCGTGTGCCGCTGCACTGGTTGGGAAAGATGGTTGTCGTGCCTCACGTTGCAGCGCATCTATTGATTTTTCACTTTGCCAGCGTTTGAGAGGCTCCCGATTCCGTCACGAGTGCTCGAGGAGGACCCTAGCTCGCGACTCTCTCATCAAGGATTGGCCTTATTCCGTAGGAATTCAGGAGTGCTACGCCACGTCGAGGTTCGCCCGTTTTCGTTGAGTCCTGCGACTCAGGAGTGAAATGTTCCTCTAAGAGAAAGGTGGCGCTTCCGTGGAATTTAAACTTGCGCGGGAAACGGTGCAAGTGTATGCTTTCTCTCACTTTCTACTGTCAAAATTGGTTTAGTACATTTCACGATCACCTTATTCCTACTGCATAAGAAATTACCATGCGTAATGGTCGTAACGTAGTCAGCTAACCGCAACGGTGCAAAGAGTAAAGCTTACGTTGTATCATTTCCTGTTTGGAAATTTGACGAATAGGCGGGGTCCCTTGATATCGAGAACGCATGAATTCATAGAATGCCTGGCTTGGTGAAAATTATTATGACAGGTGGGAAGACATTTATGCCCCATGGATAATGTTTGGAATGGTCTCAAGTGCCAGGTATAACACCGTCGGAGGTTCGTAATTCTTAGGCAGCGTATACTTAGGTGATGGAAGCGATGGAAATAAATATTGAGTTGGAAGTGAATGTCTGCCGTTAGTACTAAATCAGTCGGTGGCTCCTGTGCTAGACAGTGACCATTAACAAGTGTTTCGAATAATGTACGGGAGTACTCTCTGGACATTAGTTCCGATTCGTCAGAAAAATTTTTTAAGTAGATTTTGCAGAATTGGACCGACGATTTAATAATCAGGGATTGAAATCGAATAGGTCGATTCAAGTGGGTAGAGTAGTTTCCTTTCAATGGAACCATCGGAGGACCATCGAGCCTTAAGTAATTACTTTTCTTAGACATCTAGTAGATGTCCGTCACCATTTAGCACTGAAATACGTGACTTAAGACGTTGAAAATACAGAGACAATTCCCAGAGGCTGACGGAATCTCCAGGACGAGTCGTGACTAATCTTCGCTCAGGAAAGTGAGAGGAGAATATCTTGCTTCGTAGTACACCAATCGGCTAAAACTTTGAATCATACAATAAGAGGAATTTAAAAAAAGAAAAAAAGGTCATACTAATCGCAGGATAATGTTTTAGATAACGAAAATAAAATGCAGCTATCCGAGGCCCTGGGGGAAATCAGTAATCCGGCAATCGTTCCCAGGCCAGTGGGGTCCTCGAACTTGGAAATCCTGCAATTTGCAGGATTTTCGATTTTCTCCCCCCCTTCTGCACCGAGGCCCCCTTCCGTCCCTGTCCTGGGCAACCCTCTGAGCATCTACATCGAGTTTTGCTGGCCTGTATACAGACATCTCCGGCGGTGACCTTCGAATAGCTGCGATGGGCGCACACGCAGCTCTAGCACGATCGATTCGGATCTAATCAAGTTCGGTTGTACCATTGTGCCGAGACGAGCACTGGTGTATGTACATACGTAAAGTAAATTCCTCCTGCATAGCGTTTCCAATTTTTATAGACGGCTCTGCGACCCCAAACGAGGCTTTTTTTCCGACCGGGGAATTTACGGGAAGCTTTTTTCGTCCTCCCGAAAATAGAGGCGGCCGAGTTTCCCCGGACGTTTCCTGATTTATGCGGAATTTCTGCGGTCGAGTTCGATGATGTAACGGTATGACCCATTCCAGTTGAAATACTTAATTAGATTTTTTTTTACTTCCGTCGGGTTACGTAAAACAGGCCGATCACCGTTTCATTCTGCTCGATGAGGTGGAGATAGATCCCTCGATGGATTAAATTGAGTCATGGATGTCTTCGGGGTAGGAGTCCCTTTCGTTCTCGAGATGAGACTGGGTTGCGTCTCGAGCAAGATCATGGGCCGAGCGCCGAGCCTCTTTACTTCATGCATCTATCTAGGGGAGATTTAATTCCTATAAAAAATGGATGTCTTCGGGGTAGGAGTCCCTTTCGTTCTCGAGATGAGACTGGGTTGCGTCTCGAGCAAGATCATGGGCCGAGCGCCGAGCCTCTTTACGTCATGCATCTATCTAGGGGAGATTTAATTCCTATAAAAAATGTAAACTTCCTGCAATAAGACAGTGGGCGTTTCCGTTAACTAGGCTTTACACTCGCTCGATCCACAGGTGAAAGGTGGCTTAGAAATGACACCGAGTGGTCTTTTAAATCGGGGCGAAACAAGCGAAAGACAGTACAGAGAAGTGGAAGTAGGACTCTGGGGGGATTGATCGAGCCGCTGAAATGACATCCATTTTTATCGGCGTAATTGCTCCAACGTGTCAACGGCTCCGTTCAGGTTGTCGTCATTAATACTTATCATAATCCATGTTTTCTACCCTCGTGGTACACGTAATACGCCGTCACGATCAATAGCGTGTACTCACACCCCGGGTGATATCAAATCGGTACTCGTTAATGGTCTCCTTTTTCCAACGCTAACTCTAACTTCCAACTAACTCCGCTTCGAAGACCTCGTGAAAAATTCTAATGAAAAAAACGTCGAATTAAAAAAAAAAAAAAATAACGAAAATTGCCGCCGCCAGTTTTCAAATCCTGAGATTCTAGCCGGAAGGCCAGAATTCGATTTCTCTTAACCTTCGAGATTATACAGGTGCACGTGGAGTTTGGAACCCGTCCAAGCGCATCCCTCACGCGAGGGTCCGATATATCCTCGCTGCACCCCTCGAAGGTCCCCCAGGTGTACCCCGACGTGCCTCCTCGCGGGCCAGGCGGGAAAATCGGGCGGGCCATCGCCGAAGGAGGAGAGCACGTGCGTAGGTGCGCGCGATTCGCCCATTTATTGATCTTCCACCTCCGGCGAGCGTTCCATTCGTGCCTCCTCGGCACCAAAGGCCATGTCGGTCCGCACTCGGCCGTCCTCCCCGGCGCCATCCCGACGTCTCCAAGTGATAGTCGAAGTTCGTCCCGGCGTGACGTATTCCAGGATTTACCTGATCGTGACCCACCTGACAGGGGTGACTGGCCCAGGTGCAGGGTAATGAGACCAGTGCTCCAAGGTGAGGGTGGGACGCGTAGACCCCCAACGAGGTTATCGATATATCGGTCATTAGGAAGGAGTTCCGTTCCATTGTGAAATATTCGGTATCGGCCAAGTTGGTCGTCCTTGGTGCCATTTAGACGTGTACTCCCAAGTGACGGTCGTTATTCATCCCGGCGTGACGTTTTTCAGGATTTACCTGAGCGTGGCTCACCTGAAGACCTAGAGCCCAGGTGGAAGGTAACGAGACCAATGTTCCCCAGGTCAGGATGGAACGTCCGAGCAGAAGGCTATCTAGGTTATCGATATCACTGATATTAATAATTCTGGACGAGGTTCCTGCATCTCTTGGCCAGGAATGATTCTCGAGGGTGGGTTTTTTTATTGGTGGCTTACTTCAAATCCCCGCAGGGGTGAGGGTAACTTTAACGAGATTTCATTTCGACCTCTGGGACTCTGTTCCGAAATTGTGCAGGGGAGGAAGCCGTGATAAGGGCCTAGAGCCCAGGTGGAAGGTAACGAGACCAATGTTCCCCCAGGTCAGGGTGGAACGTCCGAGGTTATCGATATCATTGATATTAATAATTCTGGACGAGGTTCCTGCATCCCTTGGCTAGGAATGATCTCTAGACAGGAATGATTCTCGAGGGTGGGTTTTTTATTGGTGGCTTACTTCAAATCCCCGCAGGGGTGAGGGTAACTTTAACGAGATTTCATTTCGACNAAAAAATTCAGAAACGATCGCACCCTCTCGGAGGTACGTCCACCCCTGGAGGGAATTATTAATTATGAGTCATGGAGAAAAAATAAAAATCTTCAAAATTTTGAAAACGGTGAATTTAATGATCGTACCTGTAGGGTATTTCGGGGGGTTGATTTTCCCGATATTCTCAGCTATTATCTGGAAATAAAATCCAGAAACGATCGCACCCTCTCGGAGGTACGTCCACCCCTGGAGAGCAGGTGTCGAGAGGTTAGGGTCACGGTTACGTCCTCGTCTCCGTGACCCTGTTTTCTTTAAGTATTCCAAGACCGACCCTTACCCTCGACTTGCCATTTGCTAACGTGCTGGCCGGAAGATTTAAGGCCGCCGGAAGTGCAGCCCTGCGCACGTTTCCGGCCGTCGCGACCTACCCCACGGGACGAATTCATCCCTTGCTCGTTCCGGTGCACCTTCGACCGATCACGATTTTGCATAAGTACTTCTGCAAAATGGATAGAACCCGGAATCAGGCATACTTTTTACACTCCAAGCTTTATCCAACGTCTAGTAAAAAATATTGCAGTTTTATTATCGTATAAATTACGAATTTCTACATCGACGATAATTAGAATTCTTTTTTTTTTTCCCTCGTGATACGTTTAAAGGATGGATTTCGTGGATAGCAGTACAGAACCGTTTCCCTTATATTTATTTATACAAGGGGTGGGATGCGTGAAATGTTTTGTTAATGAATTGTTTATTAAAAATGGCAACACTTTGCTCCAGGTGGGTCGATTGGACGATCTCGCCTAACGCCGACGCCCCAGTGAGGCCGAGGAGGTTTCAGGTGGAAGAAGGTTGCCGAGAAGCCCCGAGGAAGAGGTCGCTGGGACGTTAAGGGCGTAGAAGGGAGAGCAGAAGGTCAGGATGCCGGCGCCAACGTCAGCTGCGGGCCCCACCGAGGGTGGGCCTCCGCGTACGGAGTTGCAGGAGTTGCAGCTAAAGGCAGGCCAGGCTACGGATGAGGTAGGCATCGATGCATCCCGGAGGTTTTATCATTGATAGTCGCATTTCCGACGATTAACAGTCATCTCGCGTTAGGGTTGCTCGAGGGGGACAACGTGGGATAAACTGGCTGGTCACGTCCCGAGTTGCGAATGGCTTAGCAAATTGCATCGGTTAAGGTGATGTGAAAGTGGCGTTTATAAAATTTTTTTCCCAATTCGGTTTACCGTATAGTTTGAAAACTTACAACGTGAATAGGGAGATTATAAGGAAGGTCCTGAAACTCATGAAATTTCAATTCTTTTCAAATTTGTTTACAGGTATTTTAGAAATAGTTTAGAAAAAATGAAATTTTCCGAGTTGCAGGACTTACCTTAGGGTCTCCATATTCACGTTTTAAAGTATGAAACGATTTGAGACACCCAGTTCGTTGAAAAGTTCTATGAACATTTGGGCTTTCGGATGCCGCTTTCACATCCCCTTAAGGTGATGTCAAAGTGGCGTTTATAAAACTTTTCTCTCAATTCGGTTTACCGTATAGTTTGAAACCTTACAACGTGAATAGGGAGATTATAAGGAAGGTCCTGAAACTCATGAAATTTCAATTCTTTTCAAATTTTTTTATAGGTATTTTAAAAATAGTTTATAAAAAATGAAATTTCCCGAGTTTTAGGACCTACCTTAGGGTCTCCATATTCACGTTTTAAAGTATGAAACGATTTGAGACACCCAGTTCGAAAAAAAGTTCTATGAACGATTTAGCTTTCGAATCCCACTTTCACATCCCCTTAATGCCCGGTGCAGCCTCTAGGACGTTACTTGTCGAAATACCCAGCCGGAGTCTGCAAAAATATCCAAACGGTCATGCTGATACACTTTTTTTTCTGAACAACTGAACCCATGAGCTTGGTCTTGATCTTTCGATATTTAGTCCCGAGGGCACTTACACCGTAATCTCGTATATCAAATTAATAAATAGTCGTATATCGCGCAGGCCTTCAATTACAATCGTCGCCTTTGTTTCCTTCCAGTCGCTGGAGAGTACGCGCCGTATGTTGGCACTATGCGAGGAGGTAAGTCCTGCTGATTGTGCGTTAACATATCGGAGTTTCTGCGAATACGCGATAACGGATAAGCTCGTAGCGAGCGGTAAGAGCGGAGAAAAATCGCATGGGAAGCTGTAGGCTGCATCGGAAATCCTCAAGGACGAGGTCCACCCCCTCGGTTGTCCAAAGGACAAGTAATAAAAAAGGGAAGGATAACTAACGCGGGGAACCAATTGCCAATTTCTTAAGAAATCTCATTCGCGATCACGTCCTTGCCCTTGGCTGGATTACCGATGCAGCCAAATCTAGTCTATACATACGCATATATATATATATATATAGAGAGGGGTTGCATTTTCCCCCGAGGGAGGCGCAGTCAGTGAGTGCAGCGAGCCCTCGACAAAATGCAACCCGACGTGTAATAAAGTTAGAAGAGAAAAAGGAAATTCCCGGGGCACCGTGTCGGTGTAATCAAAGATCAGCCCCCCAAAATCCGACCTCCGACCCCTGGAACAAAAACGTCCGGTTGTTTTAACCGGATTGCATTATCAATTATAAATTACCACCCTTACCGGATCTTTTTCTCCCGGTGCATATATTCAGCCTTCGGTGTTCGGGATTTTCTACCGTCAGTCTTACTTTCTAATTAATTAATCAATGACAACCGGAATTCATTTAGCCAGGCTCCTTCTGGCAACAGGAACCGGAGGTTGCTTTTTTTTTTTCTTTTTTTTTTTCACCGATGGATTCGGCTTGAAAGTGGCTTTTAACCCCGAAACACCGACACGGTGACCGGATCGATCCGAAGAGGGTAAGACGCCAGCAGGGACGTCGCTGTCAAGAGACAAAACAATGTTAATGATAACGTAATAATGGAGAAAAAGAAAAGAAAAAAAAAAAAAGAGGGGATGACGACGATGACTCGGTGTGGTAGTTGTTGAAGCCGTTTCCGCGACGTTGTCTCGTGTCTGTCTATTGATATCTCTCACTGAATGTACATATACATATATGTATATACGGACGTTTCTTTCTCTCTCTCTTTCTCTCTCTCTCTATCCATGCCAAATGAAGTCTTCCAGGTCCGCCGCACTTCACGCATATTAATTGCGCACCCCTAAGTGCGATTTAACCCGATCCGAAGAGATGTGTGCCCATCGCTGTGTACCTACGTACCCGTTGATGACCCCACACACGCATACGCACACGCACGCGCGCACACACACACGTAAAACACACACGCACACACGGACACAGGAAAAACCCTTCTCCAATCCGTTTATCCGAATTTCGTGCGTTATTTCCACCCCCGACCCGGCTTCTCCCTCTCTCTTTCTCTCCATTTTCTCCCCCCTCGCTTCCCTTATTTCTTTCTAACTTTATCTCTGCCTCTGTCTCTTTCTTTACATATGTACTTATATATACTTGTCTCACCGATGACTGCCCTCGGGAGCCGCGACGGTCTCCGGGGGAAAAGCCTCCGAAATATTTCTTTTTATCCCCCTACAAAGCACATGTGTCTCTCTCTTTTTCTCTCCATTCCTCTGTTTAAGTGTGTCTCTGTCTTTCTCAGGGCAGCCCTCACTTTTATATTATAATCGTTTTGCGTGTTCAAGGGGAACGCGCAGGGAGCCTCCGGAGCTGGCCCGACGAACGCTATTATTCAATTAGATTATTAATATTCAGTGACATACAATGAGCGAATCGTCTATTTACTTATGCACAGTCGGTGGCCAATTTATTGGATACACCGATAGATTTTTTGTTCTTAGTTGCGATTGGACTAATATGTTATATTTAAAGATGGCGGCGAAAGTCAAAGCGCACCTAGGATTCATTTGGATTCTGTTAAATATTAATAATGGCAGAAATTGGCGGAAGCGTTGCGTTCGCGTTAATTGCCGGGGAATAATTTCATCCAACCGGCTAAAATGTTTTCTGCAACCACCCTGAATTTAATTGCGTGAAATTAATTTAATTAATTATTACGGAATGTTTAGATTCTATCACGCGTAACTAACAATTCGGCCATCGACTGTAGATTTGGATGTCTAGCTCTAGGTACATATAGGTATATACATGTACAAGATGTAGTTTGCCAGTTATCCGAATCCCGGTCGATATGTGTACATACTGTATGCTCTACATGTGAATTTGCGTGCCCACACTGTGTGCAGTACATGTATACACGCATATTGGGTGTACACGTGCATACGTATGCAGTACATGTATACACATATTGAGTATACACGTGCATACGTATGCTCCACATGTGCATATGCGTGCCCACACTGTGTGCAGCACATGTATACACGCATATTGGGTGTACACGTGCATATGCGTGCCCACACTGTGTGTAGTACATGTATATACGCATATTTGGGTGTACACGTGCATATGTGTGCACACATATCGGCGCTCGCGGGCTTTTCGAGGCTCCTCCGTGTTCCTCGGGGTCTTGCTCTAACCGTAAGTGTTAAATATCGACCAAATCCACCGAAGGGGTTTCCAGGGCGGGCACCGATCGATGTGTATGTTGGGAATGTGCACGCAAGCACGCACGTATATATGCACGCATGCACGCGCGCGCGCGCGCGCGGTACACCACACCTCGACACCTGTGATGACCACCCACACACACATGCGTACACGCACATACACACACACGCCCTGGACACATCGAACGAGCGCGTGTGTCGCTGATGTGATGCTGTAAGGTCGTTGCAAGCGGAGGAGAAGATGCTGTTGCTGTTGCTGGTGCTGCCGAAGCTGCTCCTGCTGATGTGTTATATATAGTGGCTGAAGTGTCGCTGTATCTGTGTCCGAGGGGGATATGCGTATAGGTGTGTCCGTGTGTCGGTACCGAGGGTACTTGTCCCGGTACCGAGGCGCGCACAGAGGCAATGGGGCCCGGAAGTGCGAGGTCCTAGGGGGAAGTGATGTGACCCTTAAGCCAGTCGATTTTACAAAGACAATTCATTTTTAAGGGGGCTCTGTTCAAGCGTATGGGATTTTTCCTATATTTAGAAGTAAAAAATTTTGATTTTGAACACGCTATCGATATTTTCATTTTTAAGCGGGTTCTTTCGTTTATTTTTTTTTACATTGTACATTTTTTTTTTTTCTTTTTTTTTCAAGGCAATATTTTCAAAGGGTCAGGACATTCACTCGGTGGAATACCTTTAGAAAGGTCTGATTTATTTTATTTTATTTTATTTTTTTTTAAATCGGGTCTCGGATCATCTTACAAGGTACACGTGGATCACGCCTCTCTGCGCGCCCTTTGCACGAGGGATGACCCGCGGTCGCATGAGTGTCGGCAATCGATCGATAAGCGATTGATAAGCCATCGGCACCGCTCCGCCGGGGTCGGAGTCGGTCTCGTCGAGGACCGTGTCCAGGCTCGCGTTTCATTGTTTGCCATAATTCTTAATTCTCTCTCCCTCTCTATCTCTATCTCTCTCTCTCTCTCTTTCTCTCTCTTTTTGTAATCGATAAGGGGTTGTTGGAAGAGTATAGTCTCGGCCTCTTCCGATCCCGGGATCGAGGTCGCGGATGCTGGGACCCGGTCGCCCCCGGTTCTGCAAGAGGGGCGATATCTCTCGTTGCACCCGGAGTTGCAATCCGCGTCTACTTGCACCCTGCACGCAGAAAAAGATTTTCTTCATTGAAGGAAGTCGTACGGCCGCGTATTACGAATTTTTAGAAAAGGCGTTCGAACCGAACTCGTTTACTTAAATGAAAATTAAATGAATTCCGGAAAATATCCTTTGAGAAAATGAAGTATTTCCCTTAACCTCGTTATCGATTAAAAAATATTACCGAGACCGGATGTTTAGTCGCCCGTATGTAATGGCCATATTGCATGTTAAACCATTTCTAACGAAACAACCAAAAGGTTTCTATGTAAAAGGAAATATTTTTTCTTTATGATGATCGGGATATCTTTCTGCGTGCAAATTGCAGATTAACCTGGGTTTGCATTCTGGGCTGCACTGGAGGTTGCACCCTGGTTGCACCCTGGTTGCACCCTGCAACCGGGACCGGCGACCGCTGTCGTCGCACGTCCTCTACGAGAGTCTGTGGATTTGATGTCCCCTGTTACACTAACTCTGTTCCCGGTGTTCTCTGCATCTGCATCTCGAGTGTCTACTTAAGCCGCCCCATCTCTTCCCCGAGCACGTCTCGATCTCTCTCTCTAAGCCAAGCTATGTCGCACTTCTCGGTCCCATAATAATTGTGGATAATTCCCGATTCGCGCCAATTCGTACAAATTCACGACCGCGTATTTACCCATTAGATATTGTGAATTAATTCGCGGCTACGAAAGAAAAGAAAAGAAAAGAAAAAAAAAAAAGAAAGATTGCACTCTTAGCAAAAGCACCGATGACGAAGTTTCGTTATCCCTCACACACGAGATATTGTCAATTAATTCGCGGTTGAGATTGAAGAAAAATACAGCGTTCCCAGAATAATTTTATAGAAATTATTCGCGCGCAAAAAAAAAATGTGCGAAAAATCGGTCTCTTCTTGACGCGGACGAAGAAACGTTTGAGCCGCATCGTGCCTCCACCTTTGGAAACGAAGTACCCCTTTTTACCGATTTTCTATTTTACACGTGCCTCCGGAGTCCGCGAATCTACATGCTAAGCGGAAATTCGAAAAGTGCGACGGCGCTCTCTAAATAAAAAAGAAAGAAAAATGGAAAAGGGGAAAAAAAAGGGAATGGGGCGTCCGAGCGCCCAGTCGCTCCGAAATCGTCCCTCGTCTTCTCTCGCTCGATATCCTGGACTAATCGTCGACTTTTATGTGTGACACTCGATTGTCTCCACTGATAGAGTGCTCTAAAGCCTACACGAACACGCGACTAGTCTCTCGATTCGCCTAATCCACCGACACTTTCGAAACCTGGACGCGAGCCCGGCCAGTGCCCGCGACTTTTCCTCGGCTCGAGGCGGGAAATCCGGGATTTTTCCTATTTTCTTCACAACTGACCCGCGGGAGTCGCTAATTTCTATCCACGTACGTCTTGAATTTCTCCCCTGAGAGGCCCTCAGGTGAATGAAAAGGAAAAATCGCGACCAGTAAGATGGTGCGCTCGCGTATAGAGTCCATGATTCGCCTGAGTCCCGCGCCAAGTACGCCTACGCTCGCCTGCGTGGATGTGCGTACTCGCATTTCCTTTTCACTCTGTACCGGTAATTTGTCGTGAGGAAAATTGTACAAACGCGAGCGACACTTAGCCTCGAGCCGAGCTGGCACTACTTAAGGGAAACAAGTGCACGCAGAACAACAGGAACAGGAACAACAGGAACAACAACAGCAACGAGCAACCGAAACCAATCACGTCTCCTCCGAGTAGGCTGAGCCGCACACCAAGGACATGTTTGAGAAAAAGACTCACAGGGAGTGCTTCGAGCGAAACATTTACTGCAACTATGGACAGCCATGTTTGTGTACGCATATAGGGTGGGGATTTTTTGCGTTAAAAAAATCGGGCTAAGTTAATGTGTATTTGGTGTGCGGCTTGGCTGGCATGGATTCCTAAGGCATTCCTGAGGAATTTATGTACGTACCCCGGGGCCCTCTTCGAGGGGGGCCAAACTGGGGGTACGTGCCACACGGATCGTCTTACTCATAGTTTATAGAAATGCAGGGGATGTAGAAAAGAGTCGGGATGTCCCGAGGAGGTCAGGCAGAAGGGTCCTTTTCTCTCTCTAAGCGTTTCCGGAGATCCATTTAATTTTTTTTTTTTTTTTTCACTGATATGGGGAAGAATAACTACCGAAAAGGCAAAGATCAGAAAAAGACACACCGAATTAATATTCATTAAAAACGAGCGAATTTCACTTCTCCGCGCGTTTTCCGCTTTATTCACTCTGTCGCTTAAATCTCCTGCATCGAGGAAAAAAGAAAATATATTTGTCGTAATGCTGTCGGAGAAGTTCAAAGAACAATTATTCCAGTCAAATGAATTGTCACAATTCCGAAGAAGGGCGTTGCATAGAATTAATTCCAGTTCTAGTCGAATTATTCCTTGAATTTTCAAAGTATTTCTTTGGCGCTATCCAAAGAGGTCAATGACATTTCTTTTTCTCGGTCTATTACTTCCGGAAACGCTTAGAGAGGGATAGTCCCCTCAACACCCACACGTATGCAATTACTATATCAATGTCTCCTACATTTCTGTAAACTCAATGGTCTTACTCAGATCATATTTTTCTTTTTCCTTTTTTTTATACCGCCTTGGATAATCATTATATACCAGTATATGCAGCTCTATATACCTCGATATACCGATATACCTACTAATGTGATACCGACTCTCTAACACTGGTGGTGGTTGTGTGTGTTGTGCTGCCTCTGTCTGTCGTAGAGCAAGGAGGCTGGCATCCGCACTCTGGTCGCGCTCGACGACCAGGGAGGTGAGTGAATCGCTATTAAAAAGAAAGAGAAAAGTCCCTGTTAAGGAAGGAAAAGATATACGGGAAGGAAAGAAAAAAAAAAAAGAAAAAAAAAAGAAAAGACGACGACACTCCTATCCACCCCCAGACGCCGTGACGCCATTCATCATCAGGATCCATCATTTCCGCCCGAAGACGCCGCGAAATATCGCGGTCTAGGGGGTGAAAAAGGAAAGAGAACCCGCGTTAAATCCCACGGTCTTTAAATCGGTAGCTAATCGCGCCTATCGCGGATTACCCGCGCGTTTAAGGTCGGCTAAATATCCGTGACCCAGGTCAGGGTCGGGTTGCACCTGCAGAATGCAGCTGCACCCTTTAATCCCATCCCCGAGGATGAAACTGGCGAGCAACCCCTGCGAGCCCTTAACATCGGACAGAGTCTAGAGTTCGAAAATCCTCGGGAAAAAAAAAAGAAAAATAGAAAGGAAAAAAAAACAATGAAACGGAACTTGAGAATGAAGAATTACCGACATTGCGAGAATTTTTTCGTGAATTTACGGAGAATTTATGAGAATCGATATTTATTACGGATGTACTAAGTGTCATATTTGCCAGGGATTACGTAGGAGAACGGGCATAAATCATTCTTTAAGGTCGGAGAAGTTTTAGGTTAGAATTCGCCAGGCATTTATATTGACTTCGAGGTATGGATATTTATATATTCTCGTAAATTCTCGGGAGGAAGATGGCTCGAGAAAGTACCGGCAATTTTCCGGTGTCTTATCATCCTTGGTGTAATATACCGCGTTTAGAACTCTGATAGAACCTTAATGTCGGACCGAAGGGAGCGTTAACGAGAAACGAAGGGGGAAAAGGAGACTCGACGGGACCGTGTCGCCCTCGCCCCATAAGGGTGTTTCGATACCTTATCGGTGTTTCACCGCCTTAAGGGTGTCTCGACTTCTTAAAGACGTTTCTTCTTAAGAATGTTCCGACACCTTAAGGGTATATTTCATCGCCTTGAGAATGTTTCGACACCTTGAGGGTGCTTCGACACCTTAAGAGTGTTTCGACACCTTAAGGGTGTCTCGTCACCTAAAGGGTGTTTCGACACCTTAAGGGTGGCACGGAGGTGTAGTGACCTTTCGTTATGGCCACCGAAGCCCCTTGCGCTCCGTAGACTGTAGATATGCTCGTTGGGCTGCGATGTTGAGTGTGTGTGTATACAAGAGTACGTTTTACACGACATCGGGACAAGACAGAGAAACAGGCTGGGGGGCCCGTGATAAGGTCTTATCGGCACCCGACAGAAATGATCGAGCAGCACGCCGGCGGCACAGAATCCTCCTTGATCTTGAGCCTGCAACGCGCAAAACATCACCATTACTTACTGTCTCATATCGCTACTATACCAGGCAACGTTACGGCTACTTTACTACTACGCTACTACTTACTGTCAACTGTCGAACCGTTAAGGCGGCACGAAACTGGCCTCTGAGAACTCAACCGTTAATGACACCTTTCTTCTGACTGGGGGTACCGAATCGTTTGACATTTTACAACGTAAACGTATAATTATATGATTGGTTAGTTACACCCAGTTCGGAGAAGAGTTTCATGAGCGATTCATCTCCCAGGCGCGCGCTTTCACGTCGCCTTAAGGCCGTCGCATGTACCTCTTAAAAAGTAACCATAAGCATGGTCACAACGGTCAAACACACGCCCAAAAATTCGGTACACATGGGAATAAGTATCTACACAATGAACAGGACATTGTTTCGCGTACAGTTTGCGTAGCCATTAAATTCCAAGGTTATGGCGTCTTGAAATTCCGCTAATTGCAACATTCGGCAACTAGATTGGGGAATATTTAATGCCATGCTTACGGGTATCCTAATGGGAAGTACGTGCGAAGGCTTTTACTCTACTGCCAACCCTGTCGCCCGCCTCCGAGCCATCCGGGATTCCCCGACCTTGGCCTTGAACCTGGCCCCGCCCCCCGGTGATCCTACCGCCGCCCCTGCCGACTGCCTCCCAGCCGGCGAGGTTCAGCCGTATATTCCCATATATACACTGGAAAAAAGAAAAAGAAAAAAAAAGGAAAAAATTCATCGGACCATAGAAAATATTTCTTCCAACACCAAAGAACGATATCTTTGAACAGCGCCGAAGAACCATGCTTTTTAATTCGATAAATAATTATTCCGCTTAGACGAGCTGTCGCCTCCGATTTATAGAGATTCCATTCGAGTGAAATAATTATCCTTCGAATTAACATGTCTCATTGTTACCGTCCGAAGAAATGTTTCTCTGGTACGATGGACAGTTTTCCTTCAGTGTACATGCCTTGTATGTATACGAGTATTATACCGAGTGCGACACCTGCTCCAATACAAATTGTGTAACCCCCGTAGCCTCACCAGAAGCTTCTAGCTGTGTCGCTTTGGGTCTTTCTTTTCCTTTTTTTAATGGGTCCGTTTACTTGTCTAGCAGTAGTTATCTGTCCGTAAAACACGATAACTCACTATATCCGCAAACTCGCTCGACCAAGCCCCCCCGCCCCCACCCCTCCCCGAAGTCCGACTTTTTGTTTACCCCAAGATTTAATAAAACATATGCGTGTATGAATAATATATATTTATATATTATATGAATATATTATCTGCAGTATATACACGCATATGTCTGTAGTCACCCTCCTCGACCCCCGCGAAGACACTAGAAACCCACTCTTCGAGATATAACATTCTTCTTCCTCTTATATATATCTCTCTCTATCTCCCTCTTATCATCTCTCAATTGCGATACACTTGACTTTACATCCGTACTCTCGCTCTTTCTCTGTTGTCCCCTCTCTCTATCTCCCACTCCAGATCGAGATATACATCTCCCCTCGCATTGATTTCCTCATTTAGGTATTATATATATATATCAAGAGTATCCGTTGTATATACCTTGCGTATACCTTGTATAGAGCCTCCCCCATTTTATTTTTTTTTTTTTTTCCTATATATTTCCACCCCCTTGATTTATCGTTTATACATGATTTTTTTTTCCTCGCCACCCTTTTGATTTATGTCGAGTGAGATTTTATTATTTCTCCCTCACCGTGCGTTTTACGGATGGACGTTTATGAGAAAAGAAGGAAAAAAATATATATATATATATTTTTTATGCAAAGTTTCGCCTTCTGGCGCCGTTGGGCAGTTTCTTCCTTTCGCGTCGCAATTTTACGGGAAAGTCGGGAAATCGGTCCCTCCAGGAAAACGCAGGGTAGGGCCATTTTCTGTATTCCTTTCACAGTTTGACACTCATCACTGACCGATCTTTCGTTTCCATTGTGTGGGGCATCGTAGAGCGAGGAGGTCGGAGCGAACACTCTGATGATGTTAGACCATCAAGGCGGTAAGCTCCTAGCCGACGAACCCGGAGCACTAGATCCAGCCTAGGATGCGATCCGAGATCTGCGATCCATGATCTACGATCGAGCGCCCCTTATCAGCCCGATAAGGGGTCGCCGCGAGATCGCGAAAGTCTCCGCTTAAATTTCGACTTTGAGCCATTTCTTTTCCATTTTTAACACGTTCTGTATATCCGACTCCGAATGAGGGGACTTGATATGATATGAAAACATGGGATATATTAAGGGACGTGATATGATATACGGAATATATTAATGTAAGACCTCTCGCGGATTTCTTCCGGATCTCGCGGCGATTCCTGAAAAGATCAGCCGTCTTTTTAATCGGCGACTGTTTTTTTTTCTTTTTTTTTTACCGATCATCCCGCTTTTTAATTAGTACCTTTCCAGGGGATGCGCTAGTCGAACGAGGACGATGACGATATATCGGGACATGTGATATTGGAGGGGATTCCTTGACACTTTTATGGGACTTTTAAATAATCGCGGACGATTTCGAGAGGCTCGATTTTTCTTTTCTTTTCTTTTTTTTTTTAATTCCGCACACCTCGGTGCCTAGATGCACCTCGCGAGAAGTGCATTCAATGGAAATTGGGAAATTTGAAGGAAATCCGTCAGAAGGGGTTAATTGAGATCTCGAGATTCATAAACAAATGGTAAACTATCAAAGCCATTTTAGGGAATATCGTCGATAATCGCGATAATTAGCCTTATCACCGTCTACCTAGTCTGCTCGCGGGTGTCTCCAATTCTTTTCTAGCCCCCAAAATTCGCGGATTCACTTCGCCATTAACCGTCAACGATTTATCGCCTGTTGCGGTGGCACCGATATATCGTCACGGTCGCGTTTATCGCCGATAATCGCGACAATTAGCCACGTGTAGTTAGTTAACGAATTACGATTAAGAGCCAGCCCGGTCGCGTGTTAGCGCCCTCGCTCTCGCATTCGCAGCTCTCTGGTGTCTCTCTCTCGCTCTCTCTCTCTCTCTTTCTCTCTCTCTCTCTCTCTAATCTTTTTCAGCCCCCGAGCTTCGAAAATCCTCTCGGCCGTGATCCTCGCGAGGACACGCGGTCGAGGGCGGTCTTCCGGACGATCGTCGTTGTCGCCGTCCTGCCTCAGCTAGACTTCGCGTCTTCGAGAGAGCTCCCGTATCCCCGATGCCTCTTAGAGGGGAAAAGAAAAGAGAGCGCTCTGCCAATTTCCCGAATATATATATCCNTATATTTATATATATCCTCCTCCTCCTCTCCTTCGTCCTGTAAGGATATGTTTCACGCCGAGTGCCGAATCCGCTCCCTCGCTCGACCACCCCCCGAAAGGGCACGTCGACGTTCCGCTCGCGGATGTACGGAAAATCGAGCCTTACTCGATATAACTTCGTCGACGTGCAAACAGGGATCATAAATGCGCACATAGATCCTATGGGTATGTCCCCACGTGTCCTATAAATATGTGCAACGAGGCATATGCACCGACGTTCTCTGCAGGATTTATGTCGGGGTAATTGGATGCTGGCAGGAGAACGATTATCGGTAACTCGAGGGGAATAATTGCCGGAATAACGAGTCGAGCTGCTTAACCTTCGGAGATTTCCGCTTTCAAATGCTTTTTATGCCTCGTCTCGGAATTGGATGTAATTCTTCTTCGACCTTATTTTTTTTAATATTTTTTCTTCTTCGAGGTTTCATCAATTGGAGAGAAAATTTAAATAATATGAATTTAAACAAATTTAAGGGACGAGACTGCTTCTCGAATTGGGTATTTGTAGAGACTATGAGCGATGGGCGAGTTTGGTGGGTGAATTAATTTTTTTTTGGAGGGGGGGGGGAATTTGAAAAATGAGAGGAACACGCGGAACGTCGACACGCGTGAAAGGGGTGTCGCGTGACATTCTGGCGAGGGGGCTGAGACGGTGGTTCCTCTGAAATGTTAACGCCTTCTTATTGCTCGGTTGACTGTTTAGAGCCACGAGGTCGGGATGAAAACCCTCGTTATGCTGGACGAGCAAGGCGGTAAGCCATCAACCTAGACTAACTGACTAACCAAAAGCAACTAACCAACCGACTTAAAACCGACCACGCCTTAACCATGTATGGTGTATGCCTAACTGTCTCTATAAACAACCCAGCCATCTTAACCGAGTGCGAAGTAAACCGAAACACGAGATAAACCTGAGGAAACAGATATTAATAAGAAGGATGATAAGTAACAGACAAAGTGATATAAGGAAAGGAGAGTAAAGTAGGAAACAAACGAAACAAGAATAAACGACCACCGAGAGAAGCCCGGAGGGGCAGCCGAGAGATATACATACAAAACCCGCCGACCCCCAGGGGACACCATAGGGACACCTTAGGGACACCTTAGGGACACCCGGGGGACACTTTACGGTGGCCCCTCGTAATTATTCCCCGTGGAAACCCACCGACACCTCCGTCTCTCATGACTCACCGACTAGACCGACTTGTATGCTTTCTCGCCGTCTTTTTAATAATTTTTTTTTTTTTTTTCAATAAATAAATACATGAGTATATATATGTCAGAGAACGGAATTGAAATTCTTGTACAAAGGATACATACGGACTCGCTTCTTTCGGATGTGTATGGATAAACGGTAAAGTCGGGAAATCGGTCCCTCCAGGAAAACGCAGGGTAGGGCCATTTTCTGTATTCCTTTCACAGTTTGACACTCATCACTGACCGATCTTTCGTTTCCATTGTGTGGGGCATCGTAGAGCGAGGAGGTCGGAGCGAACACTCTGATGATGTTAGACCATCAAGGCGGTAAGCTCCTAGCCGACGAACCCGGAGCACTAGATCCAGCCTAGGATGCGATCCGAGATCTGCGATCCATGATCTACGATCGAGCGCCCCTTATCAGCCCGATAAGGGGTCGCCGCGAGATCGCGAAAGTCTCCGCTTAAATTTCGACTTTGAGCCATTTCTTTTCCATTTTTAACACGTTCTGTATATCCGACTCCGAATGAGGGGACTTGATATGATATGAAAACATGGGATATATTAAGGGACGTGATATGATATACGGAATATATTAATGTAAGACCTCTCGCGGATTTCTTCCGGATCTCGCGGCGATTCCTGAAAAGATCAGCCGTCTTTTTAATCGGCGACTGTTTTTTTTTCTTTTTTTTTTACCGATCATCCCGCTTTTTAATTAGTACCTTTCCAGGGGATGCGCTAGTCGAACGAGGACGATGACGATATATCGGGACATGTGATATTGGAGGGGATTCCTTGACACTTTTATGGGACTTTTAAATAATCGCGGACGATTTCGAGAGGCTCGATTTTTCTTTTCTTTTCTTTTTTTTTTTAATTCCGCACACCTCGGTGCCTAGATGCACCTCGCGAGAAGTGCATTCAATGGAAATTGGGAAATTTGAAGGAAATCCGTCAGAAGGGGTTAATTGAGATCTCGAGATTCATAAACAAATGGTAAACTATCAAAGCCATTTTAGGGAATATCGTCGATAATCGCGATAATTAGCCTTATCACCGTCTACCTAGTCTGCTCGCGGGTGTCTCCAATTCTTTTCTAGCCCCCAAAATTCGCGGATTCACTTCGCCATTAACCGTCAACGATTTATCGCCTGTTGCGGTGGCACCGATATATCGTCACGGTCGCGTTTATCGCCGATAATCGCGACAATTAGCCACGTGTAGTTAGTTAACGAATTACGATTAAGAGCCAGCCCGGTCGCGTGTTAGCGCCCTCGCTCTCGCATTCGCAGCTCTCTGGTGTCTCTCTCTCGCTCTCTCTCTCTCTCTTTCTCTCTCTCTCTCTCTCTAATCTTTTTCAGCCCCCGAGCTTCGAAAATCCTCTCGGCCGTGATCCTCGCGAGGACACGCGGTCGAGGGCGGTCTTCCGGACGATCGTCGTTGTCGCCGTCCTGCCTCAGCTAGACTTCGCGTCTTCGAGAGAGCTCCCGTATCCCCGATGCCTCTTAGAGGGGAAAAGAAAAGAGAGCGCTCTGCCAATTTCCCGAATATATATA